TTGTTAGTATCAACAACAAAAACAGATTATACGTGTTAAATGGCTTTCCTTTCTTAACAGTGCATGAGGAAAATACGGCAAAAGATCTCTTGTGTTCTGAAGATCAGTTATCAAGGGCACTCTGATTCCTATGGTGTCGTCGAAACCATCCTGAACGAGAACGTAGCGAAGAAAACTACGCAAGTCAAAAACTTCGTCATATCAATCATCCTAGAAGAAAAGAAAGCAAGTTCGCAGTTCTAAAACATCGTAGTATAAAACGTAGTCGTCAAAAATAAAGCAGTTAAAAACTTAGCAGTTTTAAAACTTCGTTGTAGAAAATATCGTGGTAAAAAATAAAGCACTTACAAATCATCGCATGGCGATAATATCGCAGACGTGCGATTTTCACGTTTCGTAAGTTGTGAAGGCATATTCATATAATAATTAATTTGCATAAGGAATGAGGAGTATTTTTACTTTCATATATCCTATTTTTTAATTATCTAATAAGATTTTGCAGGAAACTTAAGTATTTAACAACTGGAAAGGAACAGATATTTAATGCTACGGATAGCATTTAATGGAATTTTAAACTTATGTTGTTAACTATTAAAGGTCATTATATTTTCATTAAAAACTGCCCATACAACCTCACAAAAGAGATTAACTAAATAATGACAATCACTGATTCAGTTTCAACTAAACGCTCGGCTGTTCCAGCCAGCAGGCCCACCAGCGGCCGAGCGATAACGTCGCTGAACACTGGTAGTTCGGTCCGAGGTTCGTGGAACCGCGAACTTCGAATCCGCGGCTGCATGGGCGTTTTCGTAGTTTTCCCCATGTGTAACGTGTATACGAACCAGTTCCCCTTAGAAAGTCCTCCACGAAGGCATCCCTCCCTTAAGGCAGATAGCCCTCGAGTGCTTTGCCGTAATCTAATAAAACCAAACCAAAGTTCCAGCCAGCAAAATTGTTAACGGTGGATAACGTAAGCTGAGGGAGAGAATCATGCTAAGCTCAGTGTCGCTGCCAAAACCCTCTGTCTAGCTTTTAAAGAACTCAGTTCTTGTATACATCCTGGTGAGAGCTAACGAAAAGTAGAATTGATACATACTATGGTTTAAGGGAAAAATAATAAATTATTCTCGTAAATAATTTATAATTCTAATGTAAAACAAAAAGCTTTCTATGGTTACGTTTAAAACTGATGTTTGTTCGGAATCAACTAGTTTATAAATTTGCTAGCTTATAAAAAATAATTTTGAAGTGTCTTACAAAAGTGTGGTTACTGTGTGTAAATTTAGTAAATTCAAACTATTGTTAACATATTTATGTAAAACTTTGATTGTTGTTATTATATATTCTTAAAATTTTATTTTAGTGACTCGAAAAGTCATACAGAAATTGATACATGGCACACCTTCATTAGCTGGTTTATTCTAAGAAATAAAAATTACTATATTCGAACATGATTAAATCCATATTTAGAAAATTACTTTAAAATTTTATTGAAAGTGCTTATAAAAAAGTGCTAAAAATTCAAATTTAAACATTTTCATCATAACAGAAAAATATTTTGCCATTATTTTAAATCTAACTACACAATTTTTATTATGATCTAATCACTTCTTTCTTCTAACAGGAGGAATCAGAATAACGTAATTGAAAATTTGGAATAAGAAAATTCAAAATTAAATAACTGATACAATAGAAATAAATAACGTTGAGGAAATGGTGAGTATTAATTTATTTAACTCTTTTAAAGATTCTTTTTTAAGTAATCTTTAAAAGTTGAGTTATTTGTTTTTGTTGTAGTAGTTATTTGTTTTTAGCCATTTTAAATGCTGTCTGTACAGTCCAGAAAAACATAAGGGAGTAGAAATATTCCTTATGGATTGATAATAAAATGCAGGTAGTCAGAAAATGTGAAATCACATTTTATTGCTATAAATAAAAGAAGAATTAAATATTTAAAAATTATAATATGGAAATTTTTCATCAGCAGCAAAATGTGAATGTGCAGCAAAAAAATTAAATCAGGGTACCATTATATAAAGTTTTTAATTCTATCCAATAGTAGTTGCAAAATTATAGAAGAATTACGTGTTGAGAGTAAATAGACGTTGAGTATTAAAATTTAAGTAATTTATATATATTTTTTTTTATTTTGATCAATTGTAAAACTTCTGATCAGCATTTAAATAGATTTTCGAATTTTTCTGGCAGCAAAAATTACACCAACTAAAAGTCAGCTGTGATGAACAATGAAATCCATATGAATTTTTTTAAAAAAATAACTGGTGCATTTTAATGTAAAACGTTAAAGCTTTAAAAATTTTGCCGAGGAAGTATGAAATTTTGCAGAATAATAAACTTACTTTTACCAGTCCTATGTGATTCTATATACACGACATTAAAAATTATTTCCATTTCCCTCATATTTTTTAATTTTGTTCCAAGCATTTTCTTCTGGAGAAATGAGGATATTTTAAAGCCATGAATGGTATATATTGTAAAGTGAAAGTATATTCTATTACGAAAAAGTGACAACATTGAGGTTTTGTCACATGTTGATATTTCTTCGTAAAAGTTCATTAAGACGAAAATATTCTAAAAATTATATTTCTTCTAAAAATTAATTTCTTCTGACCTGAAAACTTTTTTTGAATAATAGGTTAATTTAAAAAATAAAATTCTTACCTGCCGTTAAGAAATATTCTGTAGTTCGTGTTAGTATATATTGCTTTATTTGATTGAACAATTATGAAATGTTAATATTTTGTTAACAAACAGAGAATAATATATGTATTCTCAAATAGGCTTCATTAAACACCCAAAATACTTTAATAAGTCAGAAATCATTAAGCATATCGGAATGACCGGCCACAGTTTCGGCCTTAGTAGTGGCGAACCCCATAAAGGCTAGTGCCCTCCACTGAGGAAAAATTTAAAGAGAAATTCTACTCGTATTTTTAAATGCACACGTTTTTATTTTAAATTTCAAGTAAATATTGGCCTAACTAAAAATTTTTAATGCCTTTATCAACGACTATGCGAGAAAAACCGTGTGTTATTGAAAACCGATTTTTAATAAATAATTAAACTCTTGAGAAGGCAAAAATTCTGAGCAGCAAAATTTTATTAAAGCGCTATAATTCTAAAAGTAAGAAGAAGCCATTTTTGCTTACATGATTTAGCATGAGGCAGGAAACAAATCTAAAAAGGTTTGCTGTAAACAGTGATGCTAAAACCGAATTCACTACGACTAATTAAAATATTGAGCATGGGAAGGAAACCGTCAACTTCAGTGTCAAAAGAGCTATCTGAATTAGTCGAATTCATAACAGATAAAATCGTATTAAAATCTTCTTTTTCACTATAAATATGAGGAAATATATCATCTATATAACGTATCCAGAGCTGAAAAGAAATCGTTTCAAATAATTTGATCTCAGCCTAGGTTTGTGTATATGTCAGTAAGCACTGAGTAGCATAGATTACCAATAGCTAATACTTCAGTTTGGCGATGACAATAATTATGTTGGAGAACGAAGTGTGTTCGGCTCAAAATTTAATGAGAAAAATTAACCCCTCATTTTCAGGATATGTAAAATGGAATTCTCAAAATTTTATTTTGAGGCATTTTAATGCTCCTTTAACTGCAAAATTATAAACAGTAAATTGAAATCAAAAGAAACCATAGTTGAGGCTGGAGAGGAACACATTTAAGGTTATCGATGACTTCAAAAGAATTTTTTTCGGAATAAATATTGTTACACGCTAACGGGTAAAATCTAGGAACTAATTTTTTGGCTAAAGTGTGTAATGCTAATAGAAATTATAGAATGAAAACAAATTCGAATTTCGTGAATTTTCGGAAGAGCATAAACAGTTACAGTTGATGCTGTAAAGTTTTACCACAGTTAAAAACAGGTGGAATGAGCGAATTTTTAAATTGAGTTTGGATTTTCTAATCCGGTTCTTCCTAATATCCTCAAAATTCTAATACCTCAGTTTTCACGTGTTTTTAGTATTTTCCTCGGCAGAGGTCGCAAGGTTCATTTCCTCATTAATCCGTCCATTGCTTTCGGTATAAAATTTTTGTACTCCTTCCATTTGTTCCAATTTTTTTTTCATTGGGAGAAGAGAAAACCTTGTCTGATCGATGTCGAAAGTGATAGAGTTTTATTCAAAATCATGCTAAACTAAGGCCGTCCGTTTAGCCTAATTTAAAATTTTTCATTCTCATGTTTCTCTTACTTCATCTTATAATGCTGAGGGTACCAAAAATTTCTTTCCTTCTATTTACCATAGACTGCATTCAGAGTCTTTCCTTTATTAAGTCTTTCCTTTATTTTTTTCTTTATTAAAATATCTCAGTTTTTATCTGGTCACGGTAAATTTGCAAATTACCTTATTCGTTTCAATTTAAGATCAAGTACTTTATGTAATTGCTCAAAAGGAGCACCTCGAGATGTGGAGAATTTAATTTTTTCGTGCGTCATCTACGGTGGTTCTAGATTATGCTTGCAGAACGATTTGAAAATGTTTGGCATGACTTCGGCAGTGAATTTATCTGTCTTTGTGAAGTCTTGACAGCTGTTCCCAGTTTTTGTTCATTTTACTTATGCATGCACTATTTAATGCTTTAGTTAACTTTCTTTCATATGCCTGATGTTGTACATTAGTGGTGCACAGGGAGATTGTATATGCAAAACAAATGTGCATCTAAAATCATTAACGAAAGATGCTTTACCAATATTAATATTTCATACATAGCAGATTTTTATACATGAAACAGCAAAATATGGACAACTTTACACTATAATATCACTTGCATAATTTCAACTAGTTTAATAAACGTTTTTCCCTTAACTAGTTTTTTTTAATCATGTTACATAAAATGTGATGCTGTAAAGTTTATGCAGCTGATAATTGTTTCCTTCGCAAAAATTCTAAATCATTATTTTTTCCCTTTCAGATTCCTTGGATTATTTCCCGTTAGCAAATTCACCTACATGGCCCAGATACATAAAGTCTTGTTTTTTATTTTACTAGGAACCTGTACATTGTGCTTCTCAGTCTATCGTTATCTCTTAAATGATGAAAACAGTTATTGGAAATCTGATGAAATTTTAGAAATAAAAAAGAATCCGGGTCTATTGATAGATACTCCAGGTTGTAAATTGCTAAAATTGGATCCTTATGATCCAACTTTGAAACATATTATTGCTAACAGAGGAAAGTATAGTTGTCCTGGTATTCCATCGTTTCTAGTTCTTAAACCCAATAGTAAAATACTATTGAATGAAACAATATTACATACTCATTATAAATTGAAATCGAGCAATATTTCATGCTGGTATCAAAACATTCTTCGTCCAATAGAACCTTCAAAAAGTAAGAGAGAAAACTCATATTCTTTCGGACCAAAGAAAAAACTTGAATTCAATGTCCCACTAGGCCTGGATCATGTCATAATAAACTGTGATTTAGCAGGAAAACATTTCACGCAGTACATTCATTTAGTGCCTATCAAAAATGAAACTCAGATAGATAGGTCTAGAGTCAACAGAAATAGTTCTTCAATAGACTTGAATGTTATTCTTTTTGGCATCGATTCGATATCAAAACTAAATTTTTTACGTCGTTTTAAAAAAACTCGTTTATTTCTTGAGCAGCACCTCTCTCCCTTTGAAATGAATGGTTATATAAAAGTCGGTGATAATACTTTTCGAAATTTAACACCCTTGCTTACTGGTCACTTTGTTGAATATTACTGGAATGAGTCCGTAAGAAATACAATGTTTTTTGATGATATGGATTTAATTTGGAAAATATTTTCGAAGAAAGGTTATCGCACATTTTATGCAGAAGACGATCCCATTTATGGGACTTTTAATTATAACAAAAGAGGTTTCAAACATCCACCTACTGATTATTATTATAGGCCACTATCCTTGGCTATTGATGGATCTACTTTGAAGAAAAAAAGTAAGCCTTATTGCATTGATTCGCAATTAGAGGTGGATATCGTCCATAATTACCTAAGAGATTTTATAGTTACAATGGAAAGTAGACCTTATTTTGCATTTTTGATGGTTTCAAAACTTACCCATAACTATCTGAATTATGCTAGCTATGCCGATGAACCAACATATAGACTTCTTAAAAATCTTTGGGAAATTGGGGCTTTCAACGAAAGTCTTCTCGTATTTTTCAGTGATCATGGAATACGTTTTGGTGCTATAAGGCAAACATACATAGGAAAATTTGAAGAAAGAATACCATTTATGTATGTCTGTGTTCCGCAAAAGCTGCTTAAAAAATATCCACAATTCGCTAAGAATCTTTGGAAAAACCAAAATCGTTTAACCACCCCATTTGACATTCACGCTACAATGGTTCATTTGGTACATCTAGACGAAGGAATATCTGAAAAAGAGATACTCTCAATTTCACCAAATGGTCTAAGCCTTTTTTCAGAGATATCAGAGAACAGAACTTGTGAGCAAGCAAAGATTCTGCCTCACTGGTGCCCCTGTCAAATATTTGAGTCCAAACCAGTAGATGACCCACTAGTAGTAAAAGCAGCTACTTCTATAATTAAAGCTATCAATAAATTGCTTCAGACCTATCAGACATGTGCAGTTTTACAAATTTATAATATTACTGATGCCAGGACAGTTAAAACTAATGAAAAGGTGCGGTTTGTAAGACACGAAAATGCCGTTCTTAATCGACGTGTGATATATGGCGCCAAAGTTAGTGAATTTATTGACTATCTAATTACTCTTAGAGCAAAGCCCAGTGAAGGACATTTTGAAGGAACTGTTCGACATGGTGTTCAGAAAGGTACGTTTAACGTTTTAGGTATCAGTCGGATTAGTATCTATGGCCAACAATCGCGGTGTGTCGACGTACAGGAGTTAAACGAATTCTGTTTCTGTAAATCCTAGAAGTTTTTATAAAAGGAAATATGAATAGTTTCGTGAACGCAAATGTGCCCATTTTGATGTGCAGAATAAGAGCACATTTCGGGGTGTGTAAGTAAGCAACTGAATTGTTTTGCATGATTTTAATCCGCAAGGTTTTTAGAAAAGATCGTTGATTAAGATAAGATATTCTTACATTTTTTTAGATGACACAAAATTCGAGATTAAGGTCCTTTGTAATGCTTTTTTAAGATTTTTAATTACTGAATCTCAAAAATAGGACTTTTTCAAAGAAGTAGAATTATTATCGTTTCATAAAATTAATTGAGTTGCTGAATGCTGAATATAAGGCTCCACCTAAATATTATTTAAGTGATAAATTATTAAATTATATCTATGTAAAATAAATGTAGAAATGTAATAATGTTTTTCTTAATCAAACACGCATTTGGATTAGTACTCATAATCAATACGTGGAACTGTAATTTTAGTGAAAACTATTGATAGATCCTTAACACCACACTGAAGTAAAAATTTTACTTAATCTTTGCTGTTGATCCCATTAAAATATTTGAAATAAAATTTAAATGCATAACACGTAAACACGTTTTGTAACAGATAATCAGCAAAATGTGAAAAAATTCGAAAGCAATTTTAGCTTATATTTGTTTATTGGTTTAAGATTTAAATATAGCGGTACCTCGCTATATGTCCGTTTTGAAATTCGTCTTGTTTGAACGCAAAGGTATTTGTGTGAATAGACTTGAGTTTGATGAGACACAACTGTGCGCGCTACACTTATTTACCTCTTTCAAGACAACGTTGCGATTGCCCATGAGGGACACTACACCAGTTGCTACTATTTGGTAAACAATTATAATTCTGAATTTTCAAGCAATTTTTCAGTTCTTTCAGATAGTTCTTTTCAAATTCATTAACAATAATTTTCAGGAAGGTTGATGGGTAGAATCAAACAACGAAGAAATTGGTTAAGCTCAACATGCAGCTGTATAAAGAAATTGTTCAAAAGTATGAAGGCAGCAACTACTCAGCTTCTTATTTAAAGCATAAAATATATTTTAAACCATCAGCTTGCTTGAACCACGTTTAATGAATGCGATGGAACTGTTTTAAATATATTATATAAAACAAACATTGGAAGTCTATATGATGATTTTCTTGAAAGCTATTTAAAGAACTGACAAATTGCCGCCCAGACGGTACAGTGGTTAGGGTAGTCTGACTGAGATACCAAAGGGCTCGGGTTCAAATTCCGGAGAATGCATGGATGTCAAATTGTCTGTCCCTTCATAGGAGGTAATGATGTCCGCCTATTAGGTGTCTCCACAATAAAATGGCTACCACTTCTGGCCTTAGTAGTGGCCAATGCCGTTATAGACACGTGTCCGCCATTTGTAAAAAAGAAACAAAAAGAGAAAGAACTGACAAATTTTCATGCAAATTGTGTAAATCGAGATGCAATGGGGAAAAATATACGATAAAATGTTCTTAATATGATAGTCGAAGGAAATTAAGATATCTTGTTTCGTTTGAGGCAAGATTCAAGTCGCTTTGGATAAAATCCATAAGGATAATTGCAGAATTGCTATTAAAGTCTGAAACGTTGTGGAAACAGTTTTAAAATATCTTAAAAGCATACATAAAGTTATTTAAAACACGATATAAGTCATAGGCATACTTTTCAGCATATACACGGTGGCGCACGCAATTTCATACTTTCAATAAATCCATAAAAATGGTTAATATCGCATGTCGACTGTTAAGAACTCGTATTCGGATGCTTTCTTTCATGGAAAATCTAGCAACTATTTGGAAAAGTCAGTATCGGACCCTTAGAAACAGCCATTTGCAAGACAGCGGATAACAGTCCTTTGAATGTCGAACTAATGAAAATTGTAATGTTTTTTATGGAAACAAAGAGTTGATGGCAACACAACGACTTTTTTATCCTTGCTGAGATGGACTGCTTGCAAATAGACCACTCATAGATTGTGTCAACAGGAAGCCAACTGTTCTATGTTGAGAAGAACTGCCAGTGCCCGTACACTTACAAAGCCGTACACTTAAAAGCATTGAAGTAGTTCGCGTAATTTTGAACAAAATTCTAGCAAATCAACAAGAAGGACTGTTTCTGAGTTAGGAATATCTCATGGGACAATCCAAAGGATTCTGCACTTGGTTCTTCACTTGCTGCGATTTTAAAGGGATAGTTGTCCGTAAACTAACGTCAAAGGACTTGAACAGAAGGCTTCAGTTTGCTTTTTGAATTGTGAAATATCTGTTTCTGCAGAAGATATAGTTTATCGTTGAGGCGTACTTTCATTAAATGGTGTTTTGAATAAGAAATATATCCATTTCCGAGCCATAAACATTCACAAAGAATCCTAAAAATGCACTGCAACTCAAGGCTTTTACCATGCAGCAGTTGTTCCGTGACATTTAGGAGACTTGTGTTGGAGGATTGTGCGAGGGGTGAACGATCCGTTCGCGGACTGATTCAAAGAACCGATTCACTTCAGTGAATGAGTGAACGGTGATCCCACAAAATTCTAGCACCTCCTTCTAGAGACCTATTTGGAAAAGTTCGATTCCTATTTTAGGAGAAAAAGGAATGTTTCGCCTCTAAAACTGCAGTGAGTTTAATTTTTATAATTTCCCAACGTTTTGAATACTTTGCATTCCAGAAGTTTATTGTTAGGTCTGTGTAAAAATGAGATTTAAGGAACCCCTAAACCGCAGTTGAAATAAAACAATACAAGAAATTAATAGTTTGAATGAACTATTAATTCCATGGATTAACTCGAATGAACTATTAATTCCATGGATTAACTCGAATGAACTATTAATTCCATGGATTAACTCGAATGAACTATTAATTCCATGGATTAACTCGAATGAACTATTAATTCCATGGATTAACTCGAATGAACTACTAATTCCATGGATTAAATCGAAAGAATTATTAATTCCATGGATTAACTCGAATGAACTATTAATTTCGAATGAATGAATAAACTATTAATGGCTCGAATGAGCAATTAATTCCCTGATATGTCTATTCTCCAGATCCCTCTCCGGATTTGATTCTTTCCTCTCCATACCCGCACACCCTCTCATAATTCACTCCCCATCCTCAATCTTATTCACCTAGATTATTGTTAGGGAGTAGTGAGTTGTAAAAAATAACAGGTTCAGTTCAGTGAGAGAACAGCTTTAATTTGATCCCATAAAAGAGTAGTTTGGGTTCTCTCTAGTTGTGACAAGCGCAAAAATTCGTCCGCTAAAGATTGTGGGAAAATACATTATACATTATGTACTAAACTCACTTACCATGTTCAAACAATAAAGTATGCATTAATTTTGTAATACTTCGATGGTAAATAAGTATGCCATAAACAAAACAAATAGCATGACATTTCGTGCGCCACCCTCTATATTTTATCATCAAAATATAAAAATGAAGTCTCGCTAACGGATGTTGATTTGTGCAGCATTACACTTTTCTAACGTAACAAACTGAGAAGTCAGTTAAGGGTTGAAAAAGCAGCAGATAGCTGTAAGATAGGTATAAAATGATAAACTGTTCAGTAAAATTTAACCAGATTGCAGATATTAGTTCCATTTCCATAATTATATTTACAAAGATTGTTTATTTTTATTTATATAAAGCATGCAAGAGTATTTTTTTTAATGTTTTTTAATTTGTATGTGTGTACATGTTTAAATATAGTTAATAAAAATGACATTGTAAGTTATTAATGCCAAAAAAAATGCCAATAAAATTATGTACAATTTATATGGCCTTTAAGTATTAATTATTATATTTATTTACATGTAAAAATATGTACTTCACTTCTTACTATCATCTAATTAGAAGTTTCATTGTTCTGAAAACCTCTGATGCCTGGCACCATTTAAGAATTTTAAATTGAAACACCTTCAAATTTATATTAAAAAATCCGATCTTTTTTTTAAATTACATTTTAATAAACGCGACTGTTCATAAATTTCAAGAATAAATTGGTATTCATGCTTCATCACTCTACATGCTGTTATAAAAACAACACAACATTTGAACTTAACAAAATTATGGTTATAAATGCATGGTTCACATGGCATAATCTTTTCATCACCACATCGTCAGTTAAAAAGTGCACAGAAGAGTGCCCTGTAACGGTGCTACAATTGGAGATATCTCAACAACGGTCTGTTTTGGATCTTTTGCATTATTCCCCGGTCAGTATTATGAACGTAAAATTCGTTATAGAAGTGTGGCTTTCTTATTCATTAAACATGCCTGCCAGCTTTTAATGTATCCGATTTCGTGTTGGATGTATATCGGAAGAAAAGGAATCAAGGTACAAAGTGAGAGATTCGTTTTTAAATTATAATCAAGAAAAAAACATTTATTCATGACATTTTTAGTAACTTAAAAAATAATAAGCAGGTGTTATATTTTTTCTAAATATACTTTTGCATAGTGTCTTTTATATAGTGAAACACTGATTCACGAATTTGGGGGTTACCACTGTGGGTAACTGGCGGCAGGTAGCGCTTCTATAATGATTAGTACATTTGTGAAGTTGCGTAATACTTGCTACGTTTTGATTTCAAAACATATTCATTACATTTACCAGAAGCTCTTTCCATATTGTTGCGTATGTGCGGGTTCGTAATAGATTGAATTCACAAGTCCAATAATAGGTTAATAAAATTTATTCTTGTCAAAAAATATATCAGAACGCTTGAATTTTCCTCAGAGATATTCGTGCAAGTGTTCACAATATTAAGCAGTATAATCAGTAAATATACCTCAAACTGCTAAAAACGTTAAAATGTAACGCAATCCAAAGTGTTAACTAAAGAGAAAGCTAAGTCCCAATTATCTCAGTTCACTCGGAACTACAACTCGCAAGAAGAGTATCTAAGCAACTGAACTGAGACGCTCTATCATCGGTCTTTTATAATTTTCAACAGGTCGCTCGAGATCTTTCTAGTAATTTCTACTTCTCGAGATTTCTGGAAAGCAAAAACCAGTGTTGAATTACAGTTACAGCTAACATAGTGGTCAATTACATTTATTCAAATTCAATATAAATTAACGAGATATCCATTTACTCAATGTTAAATATCCTGTATTTTTACTTTTCCGCATAGTTTTCTCTTAAAATTTGTCTCGTGCTGCATTGCACAGGGGAATACAACAATTTTAATTATAATTCTACTAAAGTTATAAGGTATTTCTCCCACTTTCCTAGCGTGCCTTCGTGGTGTAGTGGTTCTGCACACTGGACCGGTATTCTAGAGGTCCGTGGTTTGATTCCCGGCGAAGGCGATTACTAATTTTTCATCTCTTCGGCCTCCAAAAAACTCCTAATGTCTCTACAAAGTTAGGTATCTAAATATAAATTCGCAACACTGCCCCCTTCCCAAAGACTGCATGTCCCAGGCAGTACATTCCCAGGACAGGAAGCCATATTTACAACCAAGGCATCAATGTGATACTAAACATTGCATTACAATAAGAGAAACATAAACAATAACTGCAATAAGTAAATTAAAACAAATCAAATACAAAATCAATAAATGAGTGCACAAATTTACAAATTTAGAAACCATAAAAAGGACCATGGTCTTATACTATTTACATTATATACACTAAATACTATGGCCATAGTAAGGTGCTAGCCTGTCGTAATGAACGGCTTTGGGCTTAGAGTTCGATGACTTACGGATCCGAACTACGACGTCGTTTAGTCTGTATAGGACTGTGTAAGGACCATACCAAGGTGACTGCAGTTTAAAACAGTCCTTTCCGTCGAATCGGATTCCACAATAAAACTTTGTCTTCTTTGCTGAATCGTTGTCCTATACCGCTCGTGTAGTATCGCGTCTTCATCTTCTCCGTCGCCAACTTGACTCCGTAGCCCTGTCCTGTTGATTTCTGGAAACCATCAACGAGAGGTTATTAAGGGTGGTTTGGTTAAACCTCTCTACCATGCCATCTGACTGAGAACGTAAACGTGTCGTTTGGGTTTTGTCGATGCCGAGCAGCTTGCAGAGCTCTTTAATTACAGCCGATGCAAAATTTTTTTGCTTCATCGGAATGTAACTGAAGAGGCATTCTGAACCTGGGAATCCAATGTTGTGTCATTACTTCTGTTACTGTGAAAACTTCTTGATCAGTAACAGGATACTCTTCAGGCCACTTGATGAAGTAATTTATGACAATGAGGATGTATTTGTTGCCATCAGCAGTTCGTGGCAGAGGTCCCAGGATATCAAAGCGATACGTTGAAAATGTGCTCCTACATTGTAATATTACAGCTTGCTTCGGCTACGTTTCCTCGGTCCTTTCCGACCTGCACAGGCATCGCAAGATTGGCATCACTTTTGCACGACTTCCTTTGCATTACTCAAGAAGAAGCGCTCTCGAACTCTCTGCAAAATCCTCATTATTCTGAAGTTACCTCCTGCAGGGCTGCTGTGTAGTTCTTTGAGGGCGTCGGTGATCTTGAAAGTATCAGCTGTCATCGGAAAGCCTTTCCATTATCCGATTAGAATTTCTGGTACAAGACGGCGTTTCGAATATGGAGTGATTCCCAGAGAGGCCATTGTTGTTTTGCCATCGTACTACAGATCGATATGTCCTGCCAGGTAGGTTTTCTGTTTGAGGACTCCATTAAATCAATTATGGGTTTAATGTCGCCGTCTTCCAGCTAGTCGTTCCTGACCTCTTTGTCAGTCCATCGTCTCAGTCAGCCGATGTTGAGGCTGTAATTTGTTGTCCGACCGATTAAATCTGCTCGAATTTCACTTCGATCCTGGAACAATATCGGCAGCTTTCTCAGCAAGGTCTTCTAGACAGGACGTCAGCGTATCCGTGTCCCTTCCGATGACTGATAGTGATGTCATATTCCTGTAGTCACCTGGCTCTTTGACGCTCAGGATTCTTGAAATTTAAACGGCAGCATTCCTCTCTTCATCGTTTAATTGCGCATTCTTCAATAACTCCGATGTAATGCCATCTGAAGACGCGGATTCTGGGATGTAACTGTTTCTTTCAACGCTGATTACTTGAGTACATGCTGCAACCACTGCATCTTACTTAATAATTCTCGCCTTGTCAGTTACATTGACAACTCTCACCAGGATAACGGTCTTTGATAGTTCTACGGGTGCTGAAGCTGCTAGTATTCCTTTCGGGCTGTTACAATTCATGGGATATCCGATAATGCCATAGTGGAAATTTCTGTTTTAGGCTATGGATCCAGAAAGTAAAAATTCTGTTCTTGCTAGTATTGTGATATTGTCTTGTGCTATGATTTTGTGGATGTATTTAACTCTTTCATTATTAATTCCGAATAGGGCTGTATCCTCAAAGGCAGAATGCTGTTCGTTATTTTTAAAGTCTAAGGAAAATTAAAGGTGAATTATTGGAAGACTTCATTTTTTCTAACAATCTTCTTATTCATAATGATACAATGGCTCCACTGACATACGAGACTATTCATGGTCGTGGTTGTCCAGACATCACGCTCTTATCACTTGACTTGCAAATGCAATAAGAAACTGGAAAGTTCATGAAATGGACTCAATATCGAATCATAAACTGATCTCTTATCAGCTCAACTTCAGCAGTGAAATAAGTACAACCTCGCCTCCAGTTCTAGTAAAAAATTCATTAACTCAATAAAACAAGATCTCCAGAATATCAACAATGAAATTATTTCTGAACATAATAGTAAAGAATTAAATGGCATCACTGAAGAATTTATCAAAGTAATCCAAGAGCATAGCAAGAATTCATTTAAAATAAAAGACCCCAACAAAAAAATAAGAATTAATTGGTGGACTAAGGAACTGGAGGACCGAGAGGAACTAGACTAAAGCATTGTATCGGAAAATGAAAAAAGCTCCTTCCCAAGAAACAAGAAATAAAGCTTACATTCTTTTCTCAAAATAAAAGGCCTTATATAAAAAGGAAATACTGACAGCCAAGAATAATAGTTGGAAAAGATACTGCACAATTCATAAAGACACATATGGTATTATATATAAAATCTGTACAAACAAGGTCTTCAGTCCCACCCAACTTAGAGTCCCAAAGACAAAACAAAGCAGCTCATCACAAGATGATACCACAGTTGCAAAGATAATGGAAATAATCGATAATGTTTTTATTTCGGATGATCCATCGCGAGATAATCAATGCAACAATTATTGAGCAACAATTATTGAGATATGATAAAAGAATACCTAATACTCCAAAAGATATCCCATTCACAATAAAAGAAATTACAGATATTATAAAAATACTTTCCCAATACAAAGCACCAGGCCCAGATGGGATCAACAACAAATTAATTCAAATAATTCATAAATCAAACAGAAGTATCTTCCAAACTTATGCAATAAATGCTTTTCAGTAAGCCAGATCAATCCTTTTCAGTAAGCCAAATCAATATTCAGAAAGCCCAAACTCATGCAGGCCAATTAACCTTATACCTACAGTTGGAAAACTTCTAGAAAGAGCAATAGTTTACGTCACCACAATAACAAAAAAACAAGATCATAAGTGAAAACCAGTTTGGATTCTTACCTAACAAGACTAATACAAATACAATTGATAACGCACAGGCTCAAATACAGAAAAACAGAGCTCAAGATTTATACTCAACATTACTTTGTCTTGCAGACTTTTCTTCAAAATAGGAAAAGCATAATTATTCATAACAGTAGAATAATTGAAAAGTATTAAAAAAGAGGTTGCCCTCAAGGTGCTTGCATAAGTGCGGATTTATGCAACTTAACTTTCAATTCCATTACCAACTACATATGGCCAATCCATTCAAAAGAAATAGCGTTTGCGGATGACGCTGCATTTATCATAGCAGGAAGAACCAGAAACCTCTTAGAAAAAAATACTAACGAAATGCTATGTATCTTCAACTTCCTCTGTAACAATCTGAAATTAACCATTAGCCAAGAAAAGTCTAAGGCCGTTATATTTCCAAAGCCTTCCCAAAAGATTACAGGCCTTCCCAGATTTGCTATAGAAGCTAAGAAAATAAAAATTACTGATAGCATCAAATTCTTTGGCCTAATCATTGACAAAAAATTAAATTGGATTGAACATTTAAAATTCATTAGAAATAAAACCTCCAAAATTGCAAACAACATCCGAAAATTGAAAGGATTAAATTGGGGATTAGTCCATATATTCAAAAAACTCTCTTTAATACAGTTATTGAAAAAATTGTGTTATATGGGGCAGAGATCTGGGCCCAACCTCTTACCAAAAGAAAGAAAACACAGCTTCAGGCAATACAACGCCCGTTTTTACTATGCATTACAAGGTGCTTCAGAACAACTTCAAATGCAGCACTCTGTGTGTTGGCAGGAATAGCCTCCCAATACATAACAGTTCAAATGGAACATACCAGCGGCACGATTTTAAGGCTTAAAAGGAATTGTTCCATAAAAGATACAGACTTTGAATATTCCGATTACGAATCTCCCTGTAACCCATACAGAAGGCACCCCGCAGTAAATCCAAACATCATACACATCAACTGTATTTAAGACACAATAACACGCAGAACAAATACTAATTTAGAAGTCAAACAACAAAAATCAGCGTTATATTTTCACATTTTCACAGGACTAGTTTCGATCGTTTCACCGAACCACCATTCTCAGCTGCAAAAAGCTCAGCTGCAAAAGCGAAAAAAAAAAAAAAAAAAAAAAAAGAAAAGAAAAAAGAAAATATAACGCTGATTTTTGTTGTTTGACTTCTGAATGAACTGTATTGCAAAAGATACACAAACTAGAGAGTACTACCCATGCGCATACACAGACGGCTCCAAAATGGAAGAAGGAGTCGGATGTGCATGCATTATTTATATGAATTCCCAAGTTAAAATAATATGAAAAGCTAAATTTCGATATGAAAACAGTATTTTCCAAGCTGAGTTATCAGCAATAAAAATGGCCCTAGAATATTGTATCGAAAACGAAATCAAAAAAATTCAAATATACACAGTCTATCCACGATTCTAGCTATGAAAAATACTAAATATAATTCTCTGATCATTCAAGATATCTATGATATCTCCATCTCGAATCCCGATATACATATTACTATTTCATCGGTTAAATTCCATGTGGGGATTTCTGGAAATGAAGAAGCAGATGAAGAGGCAAAATTTGCTATTACTGACACTTACGCAGAATTAAAAAATACCAGACGGTTCTTTTGCAACTTTAATTATTCGTTTAGCTTCTTGTAATGCTAAACACACTTATCTTGTTCTTCACTATCATTGCTTTAATTGTCAGCTGATAAAATATAATGCAATTTATCAATCATTTCTCGATCATCATTCTCCATTAAATTTTGACTTCCATATTTAAAAATCGTTCATCGTCAATTGCTTTGCAATATATATGACTTCTTTGGTTTGATTTTAGAATAAAGGAAATCGTTTGAAATCCTTCCTGACAACTACTTGCCACAGCTGATACCAGTACTGATGAATTCACTTGTTTTTTTTTTTTTTTTTTTTTTTTTTTTAACTTTAATTATATCTATTGAGTGATTATCGAATTGCTTCTAATATGCCATTAATGTGATGTGCTTTCCTTCTTACAGTGATTTACTGGCAGAAGTGTAAATATGTCTAAAATATTATACTATCCCTTGTTCCATTGATTAGATTAAGATAATGGTGTCAGGGGGAAGGAATAAAATCATCAGCACTTGAATGCAGTGTTGTGATGGCCATAACATATCTCCTGAAATTTAAACTCCGTCTACACGAGGAGACACATCTACGAACAAGCATATCTGTAAATTTTCGGCGCCTGCGCCAGCCCATCTACGGAGGGAAACATATATCTGTCGCCTGAGTTACATATATGCGGCACCTGTACCGAAGTCGTGATCATTTTGCATGAAGGGATATATTGTCGTCGAAGATAGATTTGGCGACAACTAAAGGAATTGCAATTGGAAATCACGTGTCCAAAACACAATGGCGCTATTCTCATCGTTTAGCTTACTGAAAAATACGGCGCGATGATCGAGGTGGTGGTAGTGGAATTTTTGGCGTTTAGTCCTGAAAGGTTGTGATTGAAAGGTTGAAAGGCAAACAGAAGTTACAAATAAGTACCACTCACAAGTTTAAAACAAAACAAAATTGCAAAATCGAATGAAAAATAGAATGATAAAATGTTGAGATGACATAAGTATGTGAGGCTAAGACAATGATAATAATGATATTAAAGTTAATGAAATATATTTGTATTTATCTATTTTTCAATTATTGGTCAAGAGGTATGTCACAATCACTAAAGTACTTCATTATAAATCTGTTGAAAAAAGGACACTCAAATGGTTTATATTTGAAAGACATCGGTTCACTCTTGCCTCTTAGAACTAAACCGTGAGTGACCCTGCAGTGACCGATTTTAAGTCGGGTTAGTAGGACATCCTCCTTCTGGTTCTTAGTATTCGACTCTAGTTTTTACACTTCTTAGCTTATTATCAGTCTGAATATCCCAGAATTTCTGCCATTTATATAAGTTCCTGTTTGATCAACCTGCTGACGTCATCAAAAGCGACAAGCCGACTGAATAAAACGATTGCATAATTTTCTGGGGCCTCTGCCAGCTTGTTATCTTTATGTTCAGGCAATCCAGCAGGCATCTCCTACCCACGGTTCGTTTATTTTAAACTGAGAATGAAAATGGTATCAGAAAATGATTCTAATGCTTTTAATGCACTAATCGATTCGATAAATATTACAAACTTTCTTTGGCTACACGTGGACATGAATGAGAGTGCACAATATGTAGCAGTTAATTCTAATGTAAGGACTGAGCGTCAGGTAGTCATCTGCCTACTATCTGATCTCCAATAACGAATGATCTATTAATATGTCCAACTAATTTCAAATTCATCAATAAATACAGAAACATAACTACTAAAGTTCTGCCTAACTAAAGAAAAAGCTGCATATACACCAACTCGTTATTATCTCTTTTGTCAAAGTGTTCGAAGATATCAAGAAGCCGAAACAGAACACTATCCCAAAGTGGTATTTCAAACTGCTTCATTGGCTGGGTACTCAAATATGTCATCTGATATTCTTGAATTAGTGAGCGAACGTTCAGTGTGAAATAAAGCACACAAGAAAGTCGAGTATTAAGTAGACGCTCACACATGTCATCTAATAAGGCCAGCTTACAAGAATGTTCAAATTGTGATAATATCTTAAAATATTAGCAAAGAGACAACTGCTCACATCTTAATTTGAGAGACGTTTCATAGCAATCAACATATAGGATTTTAACTGGAGAAGTTCTGAAAGTTTCAGAAAAACTTCGTAATGTCTGATAGTAAACAGGATCTAGTCTCAATAACACAGAAGGTCGTGCTGATCCACAGACAGCTGAGCCATAGTCAAATCTAGAGGGGACAAGTGCTCTGTAAATGTGAACATTGAGCCACGTGTGGCACTCCAGGTAGTATTCGCCAATCCTTTATTATATTTAATATTTTAAAACACATCTTCCTCAAATATTACACATGTAGAAGAAAAGTCAGCTTTCGGTCGAATATCAATCCTAAAACTTTTATTTCGAGTATAACTGGAATTTGTGAACTTTTAATGTGAAGCTCCGGCTCAGTATAGACAGCTTGTTTTCTACAGAAGTGCATGCACGCGTTCTTCTGTTCTAAAAACATAAATCAATGTTTCCTTGACGATATCGTTATCCTGTTAAGAGCGATCTGCAATTGTATCTCGACGTACCTCATATTTGCCCCTTGGCAACTTATCTGGAGATCATCGACATATGATGAACCTGAAACAGTTGGAGGAAGTTACTTTTTAAAATAGAGTTTATTTTTAAACTGAACGGTGTAAAGCTTCGAACGCTTATTTAAACTATGAATAAGTATAATTAAAATTACATTTTATTATAGTATGTGCTATTTCTATAATAATGCTGTATGGTTTACCGCGCTAGTAAACAAACAGCAAGGACGATGAAGCAAAAGTCGTCAAGCGCAAGAGTTTATAACTCTTTGTTTCCTGTTTTAACCAATCGGAGCAAATCGTAAAAGATGGTTTACCTTTATGAATATGCTTGCCGCAAGCCTTGTGACGCACGGTCACACACCTCCCTCACCTATCTTAGTCTTCCCTTGGTATTCCACGGCAGAGACCATTAAGGTGGGAATAAAAAGAGAAACTACCCTCGCACTACGGCTGACGGAGTGCTGCCGAACTTTGGTAGCCAAAGGGGGTGTGGTACTTCCAGAGCATGTTATTTTAGAAGCGGTTTGGCAGTAATTCCACACACAGCAGTTCCGCACAAATCGAAAAGCGGGAACACTTCTGCATAAAAGAAACATTCATTGTTGATTGGGTAATAGCAATTTGTATAGATTAACGGCGTTTACGCACAAATCACATCTCTATTATCTTTTGATGGCTTGCAATAGTCATTTTGATTATGAATTTGTTTTATAAAATTCTAAGCTACAGGACTATATAGATTTTAGTAAAATGTTTATGATATGTGTAAAGAAGGATAAATACCTTAAGGTAGCTTTCAAATGTCAAAATATCACAAAAATATAACCCAGCTGAGAGCTAAATTTCTTTATAAATAACTTGTATAAGCTTGAAATTTCGTGTACTTATTTCGATGTTCTTGGTAATGTACTTGCTATTTCTATTTTATGTTCCAAATAGCAACATGTCCAGACTTTCTTACTTTATGCGCTCCTGCGGCAGTATATTCAGCGAGCTGGAAACATCACGCTTTTGCCTGATAGCGCGGCTACACTTGCTCACAATAGACTAGACAATTTTATGCCTTCGTAGTATAACTGGAAGCATATTCAACGTGTATTCGGAATTGCCGGAGTTTAAATCTCAGCGAGGATATTGGGGGATTTCTTCAGTTTCCTGACTTCGAAAAAATTATAAATGACTCTACAATTTAATCAGTATTTTATATTCCAGTATAATATTTTAATAACGCAATTTGATTATTACAAATAAAATGTATTTCAAATAAGAGAGATAATTGAAAAAGTAAAATTAATTTATATTAAGCAGAACATTTTTTTTTTCTTATTACGTGCTCCGCTCTTAGGCACTACACGGAAAGGGAGAGATGCCCCGTGGAGGTTTTTTTAAGAGAAACTGACTCAACACATGAGGAATACCATGTGTAACGTCGATACGGCAGCCCAGCCAGTTCGCCGGGACTCGAACCCCGGACCGAACTACCAGTATTCAACGGCTTTTACCGCTCGTGGGCAGAAGAGAGCTTACGGCTTTAAAATATTTCAAATGCTAAACACTTGCAGAAAAATTCAATTTGACAAATATAGTAAAGATCTCAAAATTTTCTGAGCATTTAGAGAAATATTTCTATAGCCGCATGCAAGCTCAATTAGTTTTGCACTATAAATAAAATTGCAAATCACATGAGAGATAAATGCATGGTAGGGTAACACGACATAAAATTTGATATGAGCAGCTATTTGTGGAATCAAAAGCTTTATTATGCATCGTATTCCTATATTTCGTACGTAAAAGGTTTCCGGAGAGAAAACTCAAAAAATTACGGATCCAAATTCGAACACGAGACTTCTGAGTGCCAGACACACGTGTCAGCACGTACACTATGAAAGCATGCACGGTAGAACAAATAGGTATATGTCCTTAAACGTATGTTTATTTAATTAAATATATTTCATTTTTTTTCTTCCTTTGCCTATTTTTTCTTTTTTACATGAATACTATCTATTTTCCTTTAGAACGTCCTCCACGTATACTCGAAATGATAACTCTCGGTTGTTTTACTGTAAATAAAGTAATCGTAGATATTCATAATAAGAAATTGAAGAATAAAGATAGCAAAATCAGCTTACCTTTTGTGCACTCAGTAGCAGCAGTTGAGCCTCCGAAACTATTGCTGATGATGGAGAGGTCCATGAATAATACGATGCAGATTTAAACACAAATAACATATTTATTATACTGCAACTAAAATAATATAAGCGGTAAATACATTAATGTTAACACAAGCACATACAGAAGCTTAATAATATCTAAAGAACAAGAGGATCATGGGATATATTAATACCACGTGATTAACATAATTTACGTGTTTGACACCCGTGTGTCTTGGCATTTTTAGGGTTGCCAGAAATGAGTTAGAAAACATTTTATTTATTTTATTCTCAAATGCTTGATTAATTTACAACAATCCCCTTTTTAATCATGCATTTGGGAAATATCGGATAAGATTTAGATCACTTCTTAATTTCAGAAATTTGGGTTTGGGCAATGGCTTAGTAAAAATATCTGCAATCATAGAATTTGTATTGCAGTAAGTTTTCTCGATTATTTTATTTTCTTCCATTTCCCTTAAAAAGAAATATTTAACATTAATATGCTTTAGCCTAGTATTCATTTTGCCCTGTTTTATAAGAGCTATTGTGGACTTATTGTCCTCAAATATCTTAATGGGTAGTTTTGAGTTATTCCAAAATCTTTAAGGAGATCTAATATCCATTTGAGCTCTTGAGCAGCAGTGGCTGCAGAAATAAGCTCGGATTCGGTAGATGACAGGGAAACACAATTTTGTCTCTTTGTGGACCAAAATATTGGACTATTTCCTAAGAAAAATAAATTTCCACCCGTTGATCGTCTGGTGGTTAAATCAGATGCATAGTCAGCGTCCGTATAACAGGAAAGTGTTGGTGTGTTATCAGAGTCAATTTTCAAGCAAATGTCCTTCGTAGAGGTGAGGTATTCAATCACCCTTAGAACTGCTTTCCAGTCTTTCTCATTTGGAGATTCATTTTTCCTGCTTAATAGATTCACTGCAAAAGTAATGTCTGATCTGGTTACAGTGGCTATGTATAATAAGGCTCCAATGGCTTGCCTGTACTTGGTATTGTCCACTGGTGGAGAGATTTACTCTTCCTTTGGATAAGAAGTATCCATCGGTGTATAAGATGGTTTGTGGATATCTAGACAAAACATCTTCTTCAATTTTTCTATTTTTGATTTTTGACTCAATAGAACTTGTTTTCATCTCTTTTGATGTTGATTCCTAAGTAGTTTCTGATTTCTCCTAAATCTTTTGCTTCGAAGAATTCATTGAGAGATTTGATTAGCCTTTCGATTTTTTCTTCGCTTTTGCATGCTATAAGAATATCGTCGACATAGACAATAATCATTATCGTGTCATTTCCATCTTTCTTTAGAAATAAGCATGGGTCTGCCGTACTTTGCGAGAAGTTACTATTCTTTAATACTTCTTCAACTTTTTTATTCCATGCTCTAGCAGCTTGCTTTAATCCATAAATAGCTTTTTTCAGTTTGCAAACCTTCTCTTCTTGTCCAGGTTGAACAGTGCCTTCTGGCTGCTCCATGTATATTTCTTCTTCTAAATTTCCGTGTAGAAATGCTGTAGTAACGTCTACATGCCTCACATGCATTTTACCATATGCTGCGACAGCAAGAAAAGTTCTGATAGTTGTATGTCGAACTACTGGTGCAAAGGTATGATCATAATCAATCCCAAATTTTTGACCATAACCTTTAGTCACTAGTCGCGCCTTTTAACGAATGACTGTTCCATCTTCATTTTCTTTCAGATTGAAAATCCATCGACATCCAATAGGTTTCTTTCCTACAGGAAGCTCAACCAGTTCCCAAGTTTTATTTCGGGATAAGGAATTGATTTCTTCGTCAACTGCGAGTAACCATTTTTTCCTTTTCTTCGAAATTCAATTTATCTAAGTCTTTAAAATTCTCAGGTATGGTTTTGATTGCGTTTGTTAGGAATCCTAGTCGTTCTGGTGGTATTCCCTTCGTTTTCCTTTCTGATCGTCTTGGCTCTTCTTTGGATACAATTTTGTGTTTTTCTTCATCATTTTCAACATCTGCAACCTTTGGATGAAGAGAAATTTCAACATTTTCATTCGCTGATAATTCTTCAACAAATTTTACACTTCTACTGATAATTATACGGTTTTCACCTGTATAGATTCTGTACCCCTTTGATCGTTGATCATAACCGACAAAAATCCTTCAATCGCTTTCTGGTCTAATTTTTCACGGTTTTCCTTATGTACATATGCATAAGCTGTACAACCAAATTGTTTCATATGAGCTAAATTAGGTTTTCTTCCACTCCATAATTCATAGGGTGTCTTATCACAAGATCTGGTTGGAAGGCGATTCTGGATGTAATTTGCTGTGTTGACAGCTTCACCCCAGAAATTGTCTGAAAGTCGGCCTTGGATGAAGAGCCTTGGGACAGCAGGCACCTGGTCATCTCAGTAAGACTTCTATTTTTTCTTTCGCTCACACCGTTCTGAGGAGGCGAGGAACAGTTAGTTGATGCTTGATGCCGTTGTCTGATAGAAATTCCTCCATTTCCTTGCTGGTATATTCATCACCGCTATCGGTTCGAAGAGTCTGTATGGTTCTTCCAAATTTATTTCTTGTTATACCGACAAAGTCCTTTAATTTACTAAGAACTTCACTCTTTTTATTGAGTAAATAGATGACAGTGTATCTAGTAAGTCATCAATAAAGGTTACAAAATAAAGTTTTCCACCAATACTCGGAGTAGGCATAGGCCCGCAAATGTCACTATGTATAAGTTCTAGTGATTTTCTTGCTCGAACGCTAGCAGCTTTTAAATAAGGAATTTGCTGCATTTTATTCTTTATGCATTCTGAACAGCTTTCATTATGACTGCAATTATCTAATTTTATTCCTTCTGCAAGATTTTCTCTTACTAATTGTCTAATTGCATCATAACTTCGATGACCTAACCTAGAATGCCATATTTGTATACAGTTTTTATTTTTACATTCAACTGCAAAATTAGCGCTTTCTGAATTTTTTATTAAAATTTTATATAAATTATTATCATCAGAATATGCACGCATAATTATTTGGCTATCCTTCTTTACGTAACACTTTTCTTTTTTGAAAGTAACAGAATATCCCTTACTAGCAATTTGCTTAACAGAAATTAAATTGCTCTTTAAATCAGGAACGTAATAGACATCAGTCAATCGAATTTTCTGTAATCCACATTCGTCTTCTAAATCAAGGTCAACAAATTCTCTGCCCTGCGAATATAAAATTTTTCCATCCGCTAAAATGATTTTTGCTTGAGAATTCTCATATCTGAGTTCTGTAAAGAAACTTTTATCTCGTATTAGATGACTGCTCGCGCCGGAATCGACGTACAAAATCTTTTTATTTATATTTTGATCTGAGCAATATCGTGGAGTCATTATTAAACCCTTTTTATAAACATAGTTTTTGACAGACGACTTTTGACATCTGGATTTACAGCTTTCTTTAACGGAAGTGTGCGCGCTCATGCAATGCCGGTCCGATTTTCCGACATGTTTGGTCACGCGATTTTTCGGATTTTGAGTTGTCAGGACAAGGATTGTTATTTTTGTTTTTCAATTTATAACAACACTCACGAGTATGACCACTGCGTTTACAAAAAGTACAAAATTTCTTTTGTCTATTATTATCATAATTTTTTGCATTTATTGCAAATTTAAACGCGGTTGAAGAATTAGAACTTCGATCTGCTTGATGTTCTAATCTTCTGTTGTACTCGTCAGCGAGTTTCGTTTTTACAAGATCTGTAGTTATAAGAATTTCCTCTCTAGCTTCAATGGCGGTTATAAGATTATTGTACGATTCGGGAATCGAAACTAACAAAAGTGCGGCTACATGCTGACTGGAATGTTCTCACCGATAGCTTTCAGTCTTTCGACTAAGCCCATCATATGAGTGATGTGCGCGATCATATCACCGTGTTCTGCCATTTTTATCGAATATATTTTTCTCAGAAGATATAGTTTGCTACTCAAATTTGAGCGCTCGTGAACTGACTTTAATTTCTGCCATGTACCGGCGGTAGTTGTTTCATCTCTAACATGAATCATCTGAGAGTCATCAATGCCTAGATTTATTATAGCTCGTGCTTGTTTATCCCTCTTTAAAAATTCATCATCAGGTTTAGAAGGCGGAGGAGAATAAAGAAGGTCATCTAACCCATCACGCATTAAAAGCATTTGAATCTTGAATTTCCAATTAGCGTAATTTTCGGAATTCAGTTTAGTTATTTGCATACAATCTTTAAGACTTGCCTGTGCCATTATTAATTCTTAGTTAGCACTTTCAGAAAGTTTATATGCACAGTTTAAATTTTAGTTTCGGGATTTACAACGATATCAGGCTCAATAATCAATGAAGAATAAAGATAGCAAAATCAGCTTACCTTTTGTACACTCAGTAGCAGCAGTTGAGTCTCCGAAACTATTGCTGATGATGAGAGTATTTATCCATGAATAATACGATGCAGATTTAAACATAAATAACATATTTATTATACTGCAACTAAAATAATATAAGCGGTAAATACATTAATGTTAAAATATCACGTGATTAATATAGTTTACGTGTTTGACGCCCGTGTGTCTTGGCATTTTTAGGGTTGCCAGAAATGAGTTAGAAAACATTTTATTTATTTATTCTCAAATGCTTGATTAATTTACAACCGATACGGGCCATTTTGAAATAGGACATTGGTGGATCTGACTAGTACAGATAAATGACTATAGAAGATAAACCATTATAGATACAAATTTTTGCTTATCCTTAGAAAATGTTTGTTCTAACGTAATAATTTAACTGATAGCGGATATAAAAGAACGTCATTGTAAATTCAAAATATTTGCTATTAAATATTATTTAAATATTCTGTTTTGCTGTCAAAGGGAAATGCAACTATAACTATTTTTTGCCAAATTCTAGCAAAGTATTGCTTTTTTTAATACGAGTGAGATATAAAACATTTTCGTAAACGACGTTATCAACAATTTGACCTTGTGATACGTTATGCGATAACATTCCATGGAAATATGATAACATAAAACATATCTCTGAGAAAATGTATCTTTAAAGCGTGAGTAATATTTGATGATATGTAACTGAAGCGAAACTATAGAAACTGGATTTTTTAACTACCAGTTGTTTTATTTCCAGGTATGATTTCAGTTTGCAGTTGTTACTTAAGATATAGATTGTTTTGCTTTTCTCCTAAATATTCGGATTTAAAGCATTGCCTCCCCCCATTCTTACATTACCTTTTTAGTTTCATTTTAAATTCTCGTTTAATATTTAGAAAACGAATGCTAGTTTTGTTGTCTTGTGGAGCTGCCATTTGCAGAGCTACTTTCGACTCTTTTTCTCTTAGACGACACCCTATGCCAGACAATTTTCTGCGGTAAGTACATTCGCCAACGTTGTCTATGTTTCACCTGTAACTTAAATATGTTATATTTAGCTCTTATAGCAGTGCTCATGCTTTCAAAATAAGTAAGATGTCGCTTAATGTGATCACATTTGTATACGGCTATTTTGATACAATTAAATGAATAATAAATATTATTAAAAATAATTAAAATTATATTTCAAATAGCAATAGAATTTAACTTATTTGATATAAATAAAATTGCAAACTCATAAATAAATACTTTCACAGCATTTTAATTAAAGGAATTAAAACAATTATTTATAAATTGTTTATAACGTCTCATCTCTGAACTGTTCATAACATTTTTGGATATTGTACCTCTAATCTTAACATTCGGAGCGCAACCTTCATTAAAATAGACCATGCAATGTAAAATTTTAAATCCCCCCGGCCCAAACAAACTCATTTGGCCCAGATGTTATCAAAGAACTTTGCTTTCCAGGATAGAAAAAAAAATCTACGATAGAAAATAAAAAATAAGTTTTTACTCCTGAAGAAGAGGGAAAAGTGTCTTATCACCCTCAAAAGCGATAGAGTTCTATAAAATCTACGCGAAATCACTAATATTGTATAGAAATTAGGTATTTTTTGGAAGGAGGAAAGATGAAAAATAAGCAAACGCCTTCGCCGAAAATCGAACCATGGACCTCTCACTTACGCTCTGAGCGTGCAGACCACCACACCACGAAGGCAAGCCAAGAAGGCGGGGAGAAATACCTTATAATATTACTTCTAAAGCTTTTTCCCCTAATTATATATGGTTGTTTAAATTCGAAACCATAATGTTTAGCAACTTTATGTTTTACTTGTCGACATTTCTCTATCACTTGGCAAATTTTATAATCTATATTGTCCTTATCTGACAAATTACCCCAGATTTAAAAACTTACTCTATAATATATTGATCATATTAACCTAATTTTTATCACAATAAGCGATACATTTCTATGTTTTCGTATACAAACGGGCGTAACTTTTAAAATTCGATAACAATATCCGAATGATAACATTAACCGCAATCACATTAAGCTGCGTCTTCTGTACTAAAGTATGCCATGTTATTTCATTCTTTATTTACTAAAATAACTAATCGAAAATACATATTTCTTTTACTTGGAAAAATGTTATCACGTGTACAGGTATAGAAGATAGACAGAATCTTCGTAGTACCACAGATGATTGAGGTATTGCTGAACTTAGATAAATGATAAACTTCTGCAGTCGAAATCACAATCCAGTCACATAGTAAAGGTGTCATTCGACTGTATCACAGTCGGCGTCAGGTATCACAGTCGAAAAACCATTAGAAACAGGTATCACAGGCGAAATTGTCAGTGAGAAGGTATTCGTATATAGTTGATTACAGCAGCCTCAGCAAGACACGCGAATTGGCACGCTTTAACCTTGACAAGAAACACATGGTTACCTACCTGCACATGAGCACTACGTAACGTTCTTATGCATGTACTTATGCTTTTTCATCTAGAGAACAGAATAAAACCTTACCCACAAGATATTTCGGAGATACATTTATTTCGGAAGGGTTTTGCTACCACTAAACAGCTTGTAAGATTATGTGAATGCGTTGGATTGGCTATTAACAACAAGGTAAATGTGCATATCTTTATGCTAGACGTGGCCAAAGCTTCTGACTGCGTTTGGCGTCAGAGATTTATTTACAATTTAATCAAGATAAATCTGTCGCGAGAAATCATTTTACTGAATCTTGCCTGGAAAATAGGACTTTTGCCCTTAGACAAAGAGATAAATTTTCTGTGACGAATCAGATTAACGCAGAGACAAATCCTAGCCGATTCCTTACTTAATTTTCATATGCGAGTTTTCCAAGTTTATTGAAGATAGCAACATGCTACTTGCATGTTATGACGACGACTCGGCAGTTCTGGCAAAATCCAAAAAATTAAATCCTACTCTCTAGAAACTGAAAAAGAAGATACCTGTCATGAAACATTGGTACTGCAACTGGAAGACCAAAATAAATTCTGTTAAATCTGAAATTTTAGTTATAAGAAAGTTCAAGAAATTTGAAAAAAAAAAAATCACCAATTGAGTCAATCTTTTCGGCTTACAAGTTTTTCTTGTCTCCACAACAAAGTAAATCGGAGTCACCCTAAATTGCTCCTTCATTTAAAAAACATATTAAGTAGATAAAAGGCCTCCACAACAAAGTAAATCGGAGTCACCCTAAATTGCTCCTTCATTTAAAAAACATATTAAGTAGATAAAAGGCAAGACCCTCGACCATAACTAGATCGTTTCTAGTACTACCGGCATGAACTTCTCTAGGAAAAGGTGAATCTACATTAGGCCTATCCTCATTTATGCATCGCTTGCATGGGAAAATGTCTCTGAAAACGATAAACAACAAATCCAAAATGCGTTCCTGGGAATCCTCACGGGGACACTTTACTTCATTCGAAACAATTCAATATAGTAATCTCAAAACTGAAACTCTAAGTGAATAATACCTCGACAAAATTATCCAAACCTTCTTCCGCGTGCAGCAAGCTGCTCTGTTTGGAACTTAACCAGAATTCTAAATTAGGAAATTATGTGGGAATATCTTCATGTCAGACCACTTGTAGCTCACAATATTTAGGCAAGACAAGACAAGTTCTTGCTTCATTTCCGAAGAATTGCTTCAACTCTTAGTGGATTAGCTTGTGTGGACTTGTGTACATAGTTCCTTAAATCTTTATTTATTTACAGAATATATTATTTTTTTCTAAATTAGTGCATCTGATTTATTGAATTTTGCTTATCGCACGAGTGGTGACAACTTATATATCTGCAGCTCCCCTTCCGAACACTACGAAGATCAAAATAAAGTGCAAAAGGTTTGATTCGATTTAGACTTTTTAAAATTTAACGCTGAAACAATTTTTCACACATACCCTCGTTTAACGAACAATCTAAAAATTTTTAATATTTGTATTTGCACCAACGAAACGAAAGGAAGTATCTCTTTTAAAATAAAACTATATGAAAATTTTCATTGGATTTCTTAATTTTTTATTTTTGACGAATTTTCGTAAATTTCTGGTATTTTTCGACCCGAAGATTTTAAAATCTCAACATCTAAATGTGTATCAATTACAAGTCTTGAAAGTTGCACCAGGTTATAAAAGAAGCTCTTCGGCCTCTTTTAAATAAAAAAATGACAGAAAGATACTACTCTGCCTATTTTCTTTATTTTTTAAAAGAATTTCACTCAGTGTAAAACTGAAGAAAATGGCGCACGCGATCTTTTTCAGTTTCTAGATAGCAGGATTTAATTTTTTGGATTTTGCCAGGACTTCCGAGTCGTCGTCATAACATGCAAGTAGCATGTTGCTATCTTCAATAAACTTGGAAAACTCGTATATGAAAATTATGTAAGGAATCGGCTAGGATTTGTCTCTGTGTTAATCTGATTCGGCACAGAAAATTAGCTATTACGCCACACTACTTTTGGTGCTTCTTTTAGAAGCGGAAAAATCTTTTACATGAAATTTTTATTCAAATTCCAATGTAATTTAGGATGTTTTTCCAAAATCAATAGACTGTTTCGATCATTTGACGTGATATAATTGTTGAAAGTAAAAATGTGATTATTCATTACTGAAAGAGTTTTCAATTCGATAATTTGATCGATGACGTATGACTAACATTAAGATATGAAACAACATGAAATAAAACTGGAAATTAAAGGAAGCAAGAATTTATTTAAAATTCATAAAATTGATGAGGAACTAAAAGGAGATAAAAAATATCATATAATTTAATGAGAATAATTAATTAAATAATTTCTCTTTACAAAAGTCATCTAAAATTTTATATCACGAATAATAAAATGTGTGAGGCGCCGTTGATATATTTATGAAAATAATGGCATATGCTTTTGGCAATGCAATTCGATTATATTTCGTCATTTAGGTGCCCGCATTCTTGTAGAACGATGTGGAACATTTTTATGTAATGTTCTTTAAACGTACATTGAGAGGGCGACAAGTACCGATATTTGACATGCTTTTTGCACGCTATTAAACTGCAACAAACAGACGTGATTTAGAACATTTCGCCTGAAAGTTTTTGGCATGTTTCTTATGAAGAAAAAAAATAAGACATTAGAAAATCGAATTGCATTAAAAAAAATTTAATCACTTATATGGCCCAAACCCGCGTTTTTATTATTCGTGATATAAAGTTACATGTATATTTTTAAAGCGAGCTACTTAATCTCCTGTTTCCATTAAACTCTATATGGGAAATAATAATTTTCCTTTTAGTTCATTACATTTTATGAATTTTAAATGAAGGCTTTTTTTACAAAAAAAATTGTTTCAGTAGCCGGTTGTGCGGTCGCCTCCTAAAAATAGTTTCTGAAGTATTTTTTCTCTCTTTTCCGCATGCCTTCATGGTCAGTGACGTAATATGTTGCAGAGTAATGCAAAACGTATCCTTGAAAAGGAGATGTATATATATATATATATATGTGTGTGTGTGTGTGTCTGTGTGTGTATGTATAAAAATTTTTCATTATTTAATAATGGAGACATAGATGATTATCTCAAAATTGTTCCTTAATTACGCAATGACGCTATGCATTAAAAATCAGCCAACAAAAATATTTTGTCAGAAAAGTAATCTGCGGAGAAAAATAATTTGTCATTATTCTTGCAAAGTCATCGGTTTCAGAAGCTTTCCATCCGGGAACTTAGAAAAGCCGTTGGAGTTCCCAAACATTAATCACAGTCAAAGAGATATGTCGACGATGTGATAACAAGCTTTTAATTTTTGCATCCTTAGATAACATACAGTTATATTATCAGTTGTAGTTGTCACTGTTTTTTATCAGCAGGGTACCGGTTTACGTGGCTTTCTCGGAAACTAAAGGATTGTGGCTGTATGAAAGAACCATAATTCTTATTTACTCAACCGCAATTCTTATTTGCGTACTTGGGCAAGAAATTGAGGAAGATGTTCAATTTGTCTGAAACAAACTAGACGGATTGGTAACTGTGTTGCGGCTTGACATTTAACTGAAGTGCTTTTAATTGAAGATTTATTCCGCTTTCTATCCCTTTGTTAACTCATATTTATCCAGAAATATACAAATTTAATAAACATTTCAGAATAAGTACAATCTGCCAAGAAATTGAGTTAAAATAACTAATAGCGAGGATCGTAAATGTGCGCTACATGAAGTTCCTGAGAACAGTCCAAGCAGTGGTTTAATAAGCAGTAGAGTTGCAAGTAGTAGTTGACACTGCCCGTCTTCGGGTACGTTCTTTAAATTCCTTCATTTGTGGTCAAGCGGTTTGCAGGTTTTAGTTTATTATTCTATTTTTGCACACGTTTATTTACACACTTACCCAACTAGCACTAGACCTTTCTGAACGTTCAATGCAAATGCTTCACGAAGCTCTCAAGAACGTTCAGGAGGAATGTTCTACATCACGTCTACATGTTGCACTTCTGTAACGCATAAAAGCACGTCAAACACCAGTGTTGGTGGCATCGCCATGTAATATGCAAATAATGTTTTGCAAGAAGTTATAAAACAAATTATAAATGCGTGAACGCTTAAATAAAGAAATCTAATAAGTGACTTGCATTACCAAAATTATAAGCCATTATCTTCATATATATATCAAGAGTACCCCATTAAGAAAGAGATAATTTCTTGAAATTAATCATACCCTCGCTCCGTGAGCAGGAAAAAGGAGATAATTCTTGTATCATGCCCAACGAGCTTATTATTATTATTATTATTATTATTATTAAAAAATTTGGATATCTAATGATGGATAATAATTCTATTTTCAGTTTTTTCCTCCATTTCGTTACAAAATATTAAAAGCAGACACTTTTATTTGTTAATCAAAATGATACTTAAGACAAACATATTTTAGATGATGAATAAATATATCTTGATGTGTTTTAGATGTATTTATTCATCATCCTATCAATTATGCGTTTATTTAATAAATATATTATATATATACAGTTATGTAACAAAATATACCCAAAAATATTTAACGAATATCGTTCATAAATATATGAGCAGGATAAACACATTTTAGTGAAAATAGAGAGTTACATGAAATATGCATTTACTAAAACAAATGTATTACTACTTCCATCAAGTGTATCAGTACTTTGTGATTATCTGCACCCCCAGAGTTTCGCCGTTCGACAGAATTGCCTGTCGTGTTGAATACACACGGATTTACATGATTTATATTTAACTGTTATTTCACTAAACAGTATTCATCACCTGTAAATACGTAAAACTGGTTGAATAGAATTTACTTTTGTCTCATTCAATTTCTTATTATTTATGAAACATTTCTTATGTATGCATATGTATGTTCCTCGCGTTGTGAAAACGCGGCTGCACGTACAGCCCCCAGACTATAAGTACATTTAATTTTTCACCCGAACATGTGCAGATGGAAGCAGGGATTTTGAATTTCAAAGGGGCTTTTTCTATTATTTATTTATTTCTATATTTTCTATTTTTGACGAATTTAAGGATTTTTTTATTAACAAACTCAGCTCTTTATAAGCAGTGTGTTGCCCCTCCGGGCAAATCATAAGGTACTTAATCTTTCAAATGTTATCAACAACTCGGCCATTTAAAAGGCCATCGTGTTGCATGGAATAATATAAAATATTATAATCTTCCATTCGTTAGTGTGTTGCCATTCTGCAAAGCGTAAGATGATTAAAAAAGTGATTTCAAAGCAATAAAGTCAGTTATTCATGTATACTATTGTTCATTACTGGTTGCATCTCTGAAGTGACACCAGTCTGAGGCAAGTGCGTATCTCTAATCTGACAAATCTTGTTCGTGGGAGTGAGATTATATGGTATCCACTTGTCCAAATTGACCACTCTTCGTTTTAGTTTCCAGACGTCGAAGCATTATTAAACTTAAAAAATATTGAATTTCTCAGCTTATTACGACCACTTTATCTAAGATCAGTAGACCAACAACGTTATCCTCTTCCCAACGCTCGAGTTTGGAAATATCGAAATGTCCGTGTTGTCACTTATTAACGAAAGAAACAGAAAAAACAAACATGAATGAAACGAATATGCTAAACAAATAGGAAGTAGTTGCTTAGAACAAACTATGAGTCATTGACGTCACACTCTTAAAGATTCCTAGTCGGAAAGAACAAACCTTGTAGTGAACTAGCCTTACATTCTTTCCTATTTTTTGTCTCGGAAGAACTTTTGAAATAAAAGTGTGTCCGATATCCATGTGGCACTTTTTCTAACCATGTGCCGCCTACGTGAAATTTCACAAAACAGGGACAAAGAATGCGTTCAGTAGCTATACGTAATCTAAATGCTGTGCTAATAGTGTACGCTGCAAAATGCGCGAAAAGACCCGGTTTTAATATTGTAGAAAAAAATCGCTCTCACTTGTGCAGAACCCAGGATTCACGTTGACGATTCGTTGCAAAATAACACTATAACTTACAGCCAGACGATAAACGTACCATATCAATCGCATATCTACCAAAAATCAAACCTCATCCATATAATGTCACGTATTGCTTCATATGTGCGGCATTTACAACATTCAGTGGCATTTGTAACATTCCTTAAAATTATCTAGTATTTCAAAAGCATGAAACCTAATATTAACACGTTAGTGTTCAGTCAAAGGAAAAAGTATGTAAAACGGTTTTATTGAGATTTATTACTGCAGAGCAGTAAATTACTAACTGCTGCAAGATCGGTTGCTCCAGGTGTATTTGCAATAAAACAAGTTAGTCGGACGCCAAAGTTTTAAAGCACCACTCCTTGAATACTAAATGCTCTAAAGTTCGATCCTGGTCTGAGGCTATTCTTGGTGCATGTAACTAAACTTGAATAATTCTAGAAGCTGAGTTAAAGTGAATAAAATGAGATTAAATATTTTTTATAAAAAATAAGCTTTTATTTTAAATTTATGAAATAATTATTGAGCTTAAAGATAAAAAGTTATTGATCATATAGTTTTATGAAACAAGAGATTAAAAAATTCTATTTAAAAAAAATTCATCAAATAATAGAGTTCATAGCAAATAATGGTAAACGCTAATCAGTGCTTATACTTTGTCATTTCTTATGTTAATAAAACGAAACGAATGCTAAATGCAAAGGAATATTCATGGTAACAAGAAGAATTGTGTGCTGTAATAATATCATAAACCTGAAAGTATGTTTCGAGCGATAGCTGAGAAGAACAGATTTTCTCCCTCTAGCTTTATATTTTATTTAGTATTTCTTTTCCACGCACGAAATTGCTTACTTTATCATTCTTGCTGTAAAAGTGGTCAAAGAGTTTGCTTTATAGTCTGTGAAAATTTCCAAATTTTGTATGCGGTGTCATTTGAAAGGTTGAAATTTTAATATAATGGACGTCTAATAATCGAAAAGAGGGGGCAATTTCGCCCAAAAGGCAGAAATTAGGTTACGTATATCATACAAATTTCATTTAAAAAATTTATTTCCGCTTTATTTGATGATATTGATATTAAAATTATAATATTTTTAACTTGTTCCCTAAAGGAAAATATCTGCGAAAACCTTTTTAAGTACTAAGTATGAAGTTTGAGTTCGATAACTTTAATAGCAAGTAGTTTAAAAATCGGTGCCAAACTCTTAATTATACGGCAAACACCACTAGTGAAATAAATAAAACTTAGATAAAAAAAAAACAAGATAAGTGTACTAATACAAACTTAGGCTATTCAATTTCAAGTGTTAATTAATTTTCTGAACTCATTTTAGTGCCTTGATTTCAGTGCAGACATTTCTTACAATTGTATGCATTTTAACAGGAAACTACATGTGTAATAAATGTTTGGCAGCCTTATTCTTATACGGAGTTGCATGTTTTACCTTGATAATGAGCAGCACGGCTATGTTCTCTCTCGTAGCTGTTGATGTATAGTTACATAATTCCTTTATTCTATGTGAGGAAGTCGTTGCTATGTCTACCGATGAGGAAATGAGTGAAATTACTAGAAATACCTCTTCCGTTCCACCGAATCCAGAAAACGAAGGGAACAGAAATGTAGCTGAAGATTCGCAAAGGATTTTAAAATTCAATTACAAAGAGGGTAAGTAAAAGTAAGGTTTCTTGTTACTTTTCTTTTCATACTGAGATGAAATTCATCTTCCCGCACGTTACTCAAATAGTAAAACCTTCTTTCTTAATCAAAATCGATTTTGCAAACATTTATCAATTTTATTTAGATTTTTGGAAGCACAAACATATAACTACACCATCTTAATCAAAAATCCTTATACGTTTTTTATTAAAATCTTTAGAACATTTTTCTGAAGTTACCTTTCCTGCAAATCATAACTCTTTTTTTTTTGTGTGTGTGTGACTCGATCTTTATTTTCTTTAATCTTCTGCAAAAGTTATTTAAGTCTTATAATTAGAACTGTGCAGTAAAGTATTTCACACTCCTCTTGAAGTGCGATTTTCCCTTCACTCTTCATTCTCATTCTTATTAAAGATTATAACAGAAAACTTTTAATGTCTACAATATAATACAACCTTTAAATGGATGTACCCACTTATTACCTATTTATTTAATTTTTGAAACTTTAGCTTTGAATTCTTATTAGCTGAAACCGGCTATTAGTCTCGAAATACGATTTTGCATTCTTTCATTTTTATTCGAGTCTGATGTTATTCTGTAAATGTACGATATTTATCATTCAAACTGAATCTGTCTGTTAGCGATTAACAAACTAAGCTATTTAAAAGCAAAAAATGCAGTTCTTAAAATATTTTTTTTTTACTTTTGAATCGGATTGATTGAAAAAAATGCACATACCTAATTAAATATTTTCAGCATTCATACAGAATAATGTCATATATTTTTTTCACTTTTCAGATATACAGAAGCTATAGAAGGTTCCCAAATAAGTCTAAATGTGTATTCCTCTAGTACCCTATAAAATGTTTCGCTTTTCTTCCTGAACCTATTGGTATTCTTTACTAATAAACAATATTAAATTTTAAAACTTTCAGGCATTTCTTTTCCTTTTCCTTTTTATTCCTTTTTTAATCCAAACTGGTAATTAGTCTCAAAACTCGATTTTGCGTTATTTCTGTTTTCAGTCGAGTCTATTGCCATTCGGAAAACATAGGATATTATTCTTTCATATTTAATTTGTATTCGACTGATAAACAAATTAAACTATTTAAAAGCAATCCATGCAGTCCTTAAAAATATTATTTTTGTAGTTTTTAATCTGACTGATTTAAATAAAAGGCATTAATTCATGATAAATCTAATTAAAAACATTTTTCATGAAATTACATTACATATTTTTCATTTTTAAAGTATCTGAAAGATGTGTACATTTCCCACGTTAGTCTAAATGCATAGTCATCTAATATACTATGCAATGTTTCGCTATTCCACCTGGGTCATCTCTACTGATAAGCTCTGCTGATAAATTATATTAAACTTACAAACAGCCTTTTTAGAGAATATTTCACGAGGAAAAATATTCATAAAGCGGCATATTCTTTCAGAATTAATTGTTATCAAGATATTGTTTTTTTTGTAGTATGTTTATAAAGTATATTTATCGTTTAGTCAGTAACAGATCTATTTTTAAAATGCATTTGCTTTATAAATAATTTACACAATATTTTTGTATCACATTTAGATCAATGGAGTCCTTTAAATCCCCACGGAAAGAAGCAATACGATAAAGATTTCCTTCTACAATTGCGGTTTGTGCACTTGTCGTTACAGAAGCCCAGTAACTTGCCGATGTTAACGATCATAAGAGACAAGGTATTTATGGATTACAGAAAACGTTAACCAATTTAGATAATCCATCAGTTTATGGCCCACCAGTGGTCGAGCGGTAAAGTCGCTGAATACTGGTAGTTCAGCCCGAGTTTTGAATCCCGCGAACGGGCTGACTGCATGGGCGTTTTCGTGGTTTCCCCATGTGTAACGTGTATACGAGCCAGTTTGCCTCAGAAAGTCCTCCACGAAGGCATCCCTTCCCTTAGGTAGATAGCCTTAGTGTGCTTTGCCATAATTAAACAACCCAAACCATCAGTTTATCTGCCATTCCATCATTTAATTCCATATTTTCTTCCATCAGTTTTATTTATCATTACGCTTTATGTTCGTTATGTGGGGCACTACTATATAATAAGAAAAGAATTAATCTCGATAGCGTAAATGTTGACGATTGTTTAAAAAAAAAAATTCTGAAAGTTTTGGATTTTAATATCGCACTAGAGGGTTTGTTAAGTTTTTTTACGTTTGGCCTAATCACCCAGCTTACCAGACTGCTCTTAGACTCAATCCTGCTAACGGCGTTTATTATCTTTTAAGCATTATTATTAATCTTCGCTTTCTTTGCATTTATGCCATATAAAATTCAATGGAAAAATAGCAAATTTTTTAAAAGCAGCATCGAATTAATTTTGATGTCCGTATTAATACCTCTCAAAGAAAAAGGTGCCACGATTTCGGTTAACTGAAAAGATAAAGCTTTCATCAAGTAAAAAATGGGGCTGAGAATATGAGATAGCATTAAAACAAACCGAAACAATGAAGAATTTCGGTCCAGAAACCAAACATACTAGAAACAAACTACCTCATCGCTAATTCTGTCATGTTAATTCTGTCAGTGTTGCCATTTCAGAATTAAATATTATTTTAAGTTTCGTGTGTGTAAATATACGCAGAGAACGTTTCTTACATTTTTACGAATTTGTCCTATCTGTGTTACGCAGTTTTTGGTTATAATTCCATATTTTACTTACCATAATAACATTCCGAAACTTTGCTTCAGAATGTTGTTACGTGAAGTAACGGGATCCCACCAGTGGCCGAGGGATTAAGACCGCCGAATACTGGTAATTCGATACGAGTTTGAAGACAGTAACATAAATGCGAGTCAGTTTCTCTGAGAAAATGTTCTACGAAAGCATGCTTACCCTTGGATAGATAGTGAAGGCATGATTCTTGTTTCATATTTCCTGTTCCGACAAATCTACGGGTTTATTTTTCGGGAGAGGGACACTTTATTATTGGATCACTTAAAATTATTCAACGACACTACTGAAAACTATGCTTAATCATAAAATATTAACAAAAAATTATTAATGTGGTTAAATAAAATATTAGAGTAGCTTGTGCAGATGTGTAAATTCTTTAATTTCTATAAAATGGTAACCTAATACGTTTTTTCTTGCGTTACTGCACGGAATGGCCCTTAGGATAAATTATAGTGTTATGCTTTTAATACAGGGGTGTCAGCAACCCGGTGCCTCCGAAGCAGTTTTTAAAATGCCCGATACATGGAAAAGACTCAATAATAATTATTATTTTATCTTCGCAACTTTAACCATTATATGAATTGTAAAATTTGGTACACAAAACAACTTTCGACAAATATTGAATCTTAGAGAACACTATATGACTAGATGAATTCTTTTTCGAGTGCTAAATACATTTGATTCTGCACACAGTATATTATTTTCTGTTCCCATTATTCTCAGATACTTTGTCTAACCACGGCATGCTACGTTTCGCAGTCATAATCACTACTCGTACACAAACTTGTCATTTCATCAATTTTTATTTCGAGTTGTAAGCAGAGAACTCTTTGGATTGGAAAATAAGGAAATGATACAGACAACTTTCGTTTGTACTAAGAGAATGATTTTATTTCAACTGATCGTTCTGTGTCAACAAGTTATTTCACTTATAGCACAAGAACAGCATTTTGCAGTTTTTCTGGTTTGGGTAGCAACAGTTTATAAACAGTGTCATGCTGTAGCATTATTTTTAATTCCTTGTACCAAGTAAAGGAAGTATTGCAATCGCGAAAATTTTGAGGCATCATATGTCGAAGGAATTTTGACCGTTTGCTAATCCATTTGCACATTATTTTCTTGCGTGACATCTGTACGCATGGACAGAATAAAGGACTTTTACTCAAACACTATTAGACTTACAACGCTGAAATTTTTTATGTAATCAGGGAATGCTATAAAATCTGCCTCTCCCTTCTTCACTGCAATCGGTAGTACAAAACGCACTCACCCTTTATCTGGCTTAAAATTCCTTACCCGATCTTCTTTATATTTGCAATCGTTGGTCGCAATCATCACTACATAGTATAAAACAAAGTCGCTTTCTCTGTCCCCCTATATCCCTATGTATGTTTAAATCTTTAAAACTACGCAACGGATTTTGATGCGGTTTTTTTTTAATAGATAGAGTGATTGAAGAGGAAGGTTTATATGTATAATAACATCCATTAAATAGTGGAGAAATACTGTTATTTTTGACGTTTCTAATGTGATGTAGTAAATAATTACATTGTTTCCGCTTACATTGCAAACGCAGGCTGAACTCTACGAGATTTATCAAAATAATGTACTAAGTATTGTACACATTGAAAAGGTCTACAGATTTAAAAATTGCGGGACGTAGCGTTTGCGGCGGTACCGGCCAGCCGGGGCGGCGGGAGCGTGCCTATAAATAGCGCGTCGGAGGCCGCGGTTCTCCCTATAGCACTTTGAGTTTAGCAGCGATCGGACGCGTTTATTATCGGAGCACTCTAGCGAGGAAAACAACAATATACTTAATAAATACGTGTTTTTCAGCGCGACAACGTATCAGTTATTTACTTCATAATAACGACAACGTATCAGTTATTATGAAGTTACGACAAATAATTGTATGATAGTAGTTTTAAAATATAAATGATATTCTATTCTAAGGTTAATTTTTAAATCGCACTTATAGAAATTATAAGTACATAAAGTTAGATAAGATTAGACTAAATAAAACCATAATTTATGGATTGGAATTTTCTATTAAGACCTTGGTTAAAATTTAGAGTTAAATAAATTTAATATTAGGGAAATTATTTTCATAAATCCTAATTTAAGGTGAGGTATGTAAGTTCAGAAAAAGATTATGAACTGCGATTCATTGTTAAAATATCCATTAATATTTTATACTCGTGCGAAGCCGGAGCGGGTCGCTAGTATATTAATAAATTACAGAGTGTTTTAAATGACGAAAATACAAATATTTTGGCAATGTCAAATCAAAAAAATTAATTTTGCACAAATAACGAAATCTAACATTTAATGTGGTTTAATGTTTCCTATACTTATATTTAGAAAAGTGTTACACTTATTATGAAAATATAAAATTATAAGAAGTTTGACTCCTGTGAGACAAAAATGAACCGGGATATTTAATTTCGAAATTTGCAGTTTTTGACGTCATTCTCGACTTGCTTTGAAGTATTGGTTAATTAAATTAGAATAATTCTAGGATTTTAATTAATTAATTAAGTTTAAATGAAGTGCAGCAAAAAATGAGTATAATTTGGCCATGCAAGAACTTATGCGGTGTCCATATCAGATCTTTTTCATAAACGTTTCCAATATAGCAAACAAATTTTGAGGTCATAACAATTTTACAATTGACAAAAATAAATTCTATTACGATTTAATTAATTTTTGTATTATTATTGAATTTTAATACTTATTTAATATTTATTTTTGTTATTATTGCAGCCGTATCCTGGGGTGATGATGCTTTACTCAAAATCAAAACGTTAACCAATAAAAAAAATTAATTTTTATGCTATAGCTCTCTTAGAAAGCTTTAGCGTAAAAATTAATTTTTCTGAAAATTTAATACAATTTTTCTAAACATTTACAATTTATCTTATTGACATACAATTGAAATTAATCTGAACTTGCATACCTGCTTTTAAATATCGTCTTGAATTTTGAATGAACGATTTTCGTAACTAAAATGAAAACTTTATGGCAGTTACGCAGGATTTTAAAAAATTTTGATGGATATTGTTTCCGCTGTAAATAATGTTAACAAAAAATATGTCTATTTAACCTTAGAAAAACTAGTGGTCCTTTTCAGAGTTAGTCGTCTACGAATGATAGTCAAGAAACTTTTAATGGGAAGTACATTATAATGAATTCTTTGTTTACTAGTATTTGCATTTTACGAAAATAAAATAATTTTCTTTCATTTCTACCAGTGTTGAAAATATTTCTTACCAAATTTTATTTTGAAATCTTTGAAATTAAAATTACTCTTCTAAAAAATTGAACTCTATTACTCCTTTTTTCTGAACAACTTCTATAGCTGGCATGTAGCTGTACATATTTATTTCTATAACTGCTGAGTAAACTGTAGAATTTACACGTTCACAACGCATTATATATTAGCATAAATTTCTGGTTATAAATTTTTAAATGCTGAAGTGTATTTTTGAGTTAAGCTGCGAGCAGTAATAGTTTCAAAACTGCTGTTTTTACTTCCTTGTACGAAGTAAAAAGAAAGTATTGTAATCGCGAAACGTTTCAAGCATCGTATTTCAACGCAAATATTCATTTTGACCGCTATCAAATGCAATTTAACGATGTTTTTGTGTGACATCCGTACGTAAGGACAGAATAAATGACTCTTTTCCCCCCAAAAATTATAAAACTGATTTAAAATGAATTCTGAAGAGAACGTTTCGTGGCGTCTGTGCGTACGAGTATCTCGCATAACTCAAAAACGAGTAGCCTCAAAGAACGTTGAAATTTTGTATATAGGACTTCTATAACATGTAGATATGCACCTCGTATTTTGGTTACAATCGACGGCACCAAGAGTATATAAATATATGTATATATGTATCCACTCTGTTACTCGGCTCAGTAATCTCTGTTTCTTTATTCTTATATGTTTGTAAATTGCGCATTTGTTGCTTTAAAAATGATTGAATTATGTTGTTCTGATCTTCCGGTTAAGGTTTTTATGCATTTAGTAAATCCGCATGCAATTTTTTTAGAATTATCAACAATTTAAAAGTTGTTTAAGTGCCGCTAAGCCTAATTATTTTTGCCATGGCGGCCATTGCTTGTTTACATTTGAAACAGCAGAATAGTACATTTGTTGCCAATCTAGAGAAACTAAGCTTCATAGCAACAAAGATAACGCCTTTATTTATTATTGCGAATTAAATCATGCTTAATCCATTCTGGAATTTATTCGAGAAAATAAGTGTTTAAGATTTACTTCATAATATTCAATACAGATATTTTGAGTTTTTATGTATTTTTGCCTATGTCGCGAAGTGAGAACTGAATCAGTTGATTGAGAATTGCTGAATCGTTTGTGAAAAACTGTTTCCTTGTTGTTGTTGTTGTTGTTATTGTTCTTTGCTTAATTTCTTTTATACATCGTTTTAGATTTATTATAGTATTTGAATAGAACATGTGACAACGATTAGATTATTCTTAAGATGATATAAATTTTATACATTCTGAGTTAAAAAATGAATGAGTAAGGCTGTTAAATGAACCTAGGACCAGAGTGTCGCTATAGTAAACAAATATAGTGAATTTTAAAGGGTGCATTTATTCTATTGTGGTTTATACAATAAGTTTAAACGAAATGCAAGAAAAAATGCGTATAATTTAGTACTCGTATTTCGTACAAGGAAGTCATGTGGTGTACGCATCAGATTTCTTTTTCAGGAAAGAACAGAGTCGAAAAATTCTGATATTAAGAAGTAGCAGCTTTAATGCGATGTAAACTATGTGTTAAAAGAAGATGTCTGCTTCTTTAATTTAAGGTGTGTGAACTAATTTCTGTCAGAAATATGAAAAAATTGTCTTGTTTAATGTAGTGCTTTACGGTATGATTTTGATACAATTTTGATTTACGTAGTTCTGCTAAATATGGAAATGTTATCTTTGATTATAAGTTCCTCAAACTCAAAGGCGATGACTAGGTTAGATTATTTGAAAGCAGCTAAACAAGCGATGACCATCTAACTGAGAACATGGATGCCGTCGTGGAGAATTTTCTTAGAGAAATTGACTTATATTTACGTTGCACATGGAGAAAATTATGAATAGCAGCTATACAGACAGCTTTTTCGTCTTTGATTGACACCGGGACAAACTCCTAGCAGTCAGTGGCCTTAACCACTTGGCCACTGGTGAGAAGCAAAGCAGTAACTAAAAACCCTTTGAAAGAGGGCTGTTTAAACAGCTTCATAATTGTTTGTTTAATATTTTTGTATTTGTTAATACTAAAATCACATATTCATGGTTATTTTCTAGCCACATAAGTCTGTTAAGCTAAATCATTGGAATTATTACCGAAATTGGGATTCGCGAATATTGGAAGGTAAGTATGTTTTATGTTTTATTGTGTTTTTTGTTCTTACTTTAAAATAAATTTAAAGGTACTATGTAAGGTTTATTTTAATAAGTACGTTATTCCTATACTAAATCCTTATTACATATCTACTTTTTCTATCAACTACAGCCGAAATACAAATTACATGAGTTTTTATAGCTACAAAGAACATGTATTTAGTGGGAAAGAGGCTATACATAAATGCTAGCTGAATATTTCAGTTCTTAATGTCCAGCTCTGTATTCTGTTCCTTAAAACATAATTCTACTCCAGAAGAGCATACGATGTATCACGTAGTAGCGTACCTAAGCAAAAAAATTCAAACTTGGTTAAAAAAGATTGTACTTAAGATGTTGCTTAGCAATACATTTTTAATTAATGTTATTATATCAAAGCAAGAGAAAATTGCAACTTAAAGTTTACAGTAAGCATACACGTAAGACAAAAATTAATGTAAATAAAATTTCTAACTTTCATCTGCAATAGTCCCTTAACTCTCCATCATTTTAATTATTCTGGCTATTTCCATTTTCAGACCTAAAAGTAATGAATGCTTTAATTAAATCTCTGTAAACTAATACCTCGTCATTTGATTCTTACACAAAGCTAATGATGCAAGTGCTTATATAACGTCTCAGCCAGCTGCTTATATAAGGCTTATATATATAGATACATATATATGCTTAGATAAGCCCATGTTGCTTATATAACTCCTCAGTTGCTTATATAACGTCTCCGAATTTTAAAATTCGGGAATCGAAAATTTTAACAACTAGTAATCATTAAGCTAAATAAAACTTTCAATCATTCTGAACCGAGTTTTCTTCTTAGGTATGTCGCATTTGCTCTCAGCTACTCTGCCTTACCACTTTGCTTTCCCGCTCTCTTTACTTGCTTCAAAAATGCATATAGGAAATGATTTGGAATTTTGAGGTTATATGTTGATGCCAAATGGATACTTAAAGAAGAAGTTCACAATCATCTTCGTTTTAATTTTCCATTTTTTTTCTTGTTGGCAACCATTTTCAACCTAACACTGATAAAATGGGGCAGTACGCGCGCCTGATGTTTGAAGACAGATGGAACAACAGACTATTTGCCATGTACAAGTTAAGTTACTTCCTGTCTGAGCAATTTGCATTTCACAGGACTTTACTTTTACTTCCTTTAATTTCTGAAGGACCTCCTTAGTATTTTGAAAAAAATTCTTTAAAATGCTTCTCTACGATGATGATGCCATCCAGATATATCAGATAGGCTTCGCAGGAAAGACCTCTCAGCTTGGTCTCCATAAGGCGTTCGAATGTTGCCGGCGCATTACGTAGTCCAAACGGGGCTAATGAAAGAAATAAGGACTTTCTGAAGGCTCTATAATGCCGTTTCCTTGCATGTGCTTTAGACGTTTCCGTACTTTCTGCTTAGCGGTCAGTAGACGTCTTGGATCAAGGTTCTTTGGATCAAGGTTTGATTGATGGATGATCCCCTATATCCAGTCACTGGTTCGACCTGCGTTAGAAGATTGTAATGTTCTAGCTGAAATAAAATCCCTCAACTCTTTCATGTCAAAGTCGCCTCAAACGCCCGAGCATTCAAACATCGGCAGATCGCCCCGCACGCCTGAATAATTTCCTACCTAGTACTTTCCTCCATCACATTACTGCATTGTTCATTACTTTCAGAAGTTGTTAAATGACGTATCAATCATTCTTTTCAAGAGACTAAAAGTAGTTCTGTTATTTTAATGCACCTTCTTTTTCCTTTGTTTACTGTCAATGTTAAGCTATTGATGACAGAAGTTGCAATCCCGTCCCAAGCGGGAACTTCACACGGGATGAAAGCGTCCAAGAAAGAAGTTATCGCTTTACTTAAGTAGGTTTTTGTTAGCGCTGTAGAATTCAATTTGTCGTGGGGGAAGGAAAAGCATTTCAACAGAAATTCGTATACACGGCATTTTCGATGATTGAGGAAAAGCGATTTGGGCATCTCTCGATGCGAAAGAGTTAACTGCTAGAACTTGGTAGAGCTATGTAGCAAGTATTCACTAAGTTTTTCTGCGTAAATAACAAGTCCTAAGAAGGGGTAAAATGACCTTTTATTTGAACTCAAGATAGTCAGAGAAAGCCAACACTTTAGCTTAAAATAGAAAATATTAAATTAAACCAAAGCTAAGTAGATTAAACAGGATAGGAAACCACGAAATAAGCAGCTGTATCATCATCACGACTTAATAGCTTAATTGCTTATTACCAGTACGTGGGGCCATTCACTATCTGCTGTTTACTATAATTTTTTTATTTTTTACATAATAAGGAAAATATTACATAATTTGGTTATATAATAGTATCAATAACATAACAATAATATCAGTAATGTATTAAACAGCTTAAGCTGCACACAGTTCTTACCGCGTCATTGTCTCTTATTTAAAAATCACCAGCGTAGCCTAACAGGAACGTAATAAGCACGACCATAAACCAGCAAGCTTGACCTTGTACAACAACGTGACAGAAAAGCAGAATACGCTTTCTAGCTCACCAGCTCTCTAACTAAAGTACCTCAGACCTCAATTGAAATAGTAGTTTCTGCTCTATTTTTCATAAAGCATGGGACTTAAAACTTATTCTGGCAAGAAATCATAGGGAGGAAAATGAGGAAGTAAGGAAAAGCTATCTTAAATTAAAAATAACTATTAATAAATTAAAGTAAAACCCTACAGTTTTGCCCACCAGAATGTAAGTACTCGAAAACTAAGATCTTTAAATGACCTTGTTGAGATTTTAAATTTTAATTTGAAATTCTAAATTTAAAATTCTGCGTTTAAGATTCTCAGCTTACGATTCGAAATTTCAGATTAAAAGTTCAATATTTTAAGAGCCAACTTTTACAACAGCAAGGTAAATCTAAATTATCTAAATTATCCTTGAACTTGCATTTGAACTTAGTAGTAACTTGATTGTGCTCTTGCACCTTGTACCAACTTAACGTTAGGCCCTTTAAATTTGCCTTGGCAATACTTACTTTTTGTAACCTGGAACAGGATGTAGGGTAAATTTCGACTACTTCAGGAAGGACAACTGAACCTTTTTCGTCTAAATTCGAAGTCGGTTAAAAAATAACAATTATCAAAATAAAGCAAAACCATACAAAACGGTTGGGAGAAAACAAAACAACTTGAAATTCTTGAATGATACATTCAGCAGCATTCCTCTCATCCTCACTTAGTTGTGCCTTCTGCAATAACTTCGATGTTAGGCTCTGGGAAGATGCAAACTTTGGAAGACTACTAGTTCGTTCGTCCGATGCAACCACTTCGCCTTCCTAATCAGTTTCGCCTTATCACTAACGTTGGCAGATCTCACCGGAATGACGTCTTCGATAAGCCGACGAGTGCCGAGGCTATTAGTACTCCTTTCGGGATGTTAAGAGTTCTTAGGATATTTCATTATGCAGCATTTAATATTTCTATTTTTAGCTGTAGATCCAGCTAAGTAAAAATGCCATTCTTTCTGGTATTGTGATATGGTTTTGAGCTATGATTTGGTGATATGATTATGAGCTATGATTTTAATCTTTCCTTTAAATACGCTTGTGTCCTCTGAGATAGAATGAAGTTCCTTATTCTTTAAGTCCAAGAAGAAAGTATATTTCCTTAGAAAGGCTAATAGATGACAGCTTTGATAAAAAAATTTTCCCAAAAGAAACACTTAGTTTTGAAACTTTCCACTGAAGCACTTGCATAGTTCTTCTCAGTATAACGGAGCACTATCGATAGTTACCCTTCAAACTGCTAAGAACGTTAAACACAACGCAACGCAAAGTAAATCTGAAAGAAGGAGCTCGTAAGGAGATCTCAATACTCTGAACTCAATAACTGCTCTCTGCGGGCTTATATAGTTTTCGCCTGGCCGCTGAGAAATCTCTAGTATCTTCTGTTCCTTGAAATCACTGGAAGCCATATACGCTTAAAGTTGCATGTCAGGTTTGCGGTTACAATTACATATAGGGATCAATTACAGTTATACAGGGATCGGAATGAAAGTAGCAGAGCTTGACGTCTTTTGGCGATTTGTTGTAAAACTGCGTGAGAAAACTGAGTGGCGAATACCATCACCAACTTGGCGATATCTCGCCAGTTAAACGCGATAGCCATTTACCTCAATATTAACTAGACTTGCTCCTATAATCTTATTTTTTTGGCATAGCTTCATACTTTACATATTAAAATATACAAAAGTATTACAATTTCACGAATAATTTCACTAGAATTATTTACATATACAATGCGTTTCATAGATCATGGGACAAACTTGGGCGGGGGGGTGGAGTGTACTAAAACATGCATTTTTTTATAGGAATGTAGGGTCTAAAGTGACAGGTTAAGGCAGGAACGCAAAAAAAAAAAAAAAAAAAAAAAAAAAAAAAAAAAAAAAACGACACGAGAGAAAAATGTGTTTATGTACAAAATCAACGCAAAGTGCTTCTTTGTAGCAATACAGTATTTACAATAAATGTTGAAAATTGCGACCACCAGCAGTAATGCATGCTTGGTAACGACGCAGAAGGGATTGACGAACATTTTGAAAAACGACAGGCATTTCGCGCACGCTTGCTACCGATCAACGGATAGTCGTGCAGCGAGGTTCTCCGGTGAGTCAACGGGAGTCTCGTAAATGATGCTCTTCAGGTGGCCCCCCATAAAAAAATTCCAAGCTGGACAAATCTGACAAACGGGGTGGCCATCGAAAGGGTCCACCACGGCCAATCCATCGGCCCGTAAATGTGCCATCCAAGTACTTGCGGACTCGCACGTGTTTATGGGCTGGTGTACCATCATGCTGGAACCACATGCGATCACAAACGACAGCCGGAACATCCTGCAACAATTCCGGTATCACCTTTTGCAGAAAAATATGATGAAATAAGCCATTTGTACGTGCAGGTAAGAAGTATGGACCTATGATATACCCGCTCACACATTCACGGAGAAGAGGGTTTGGAATGCATGCAGACGTGTGCCGTGTGGATTATGAGTTGCCCACATGTGCATGTTGTGGCTATTGAAGATGCCTCGTCCGTGAATAGCCCATCCGATGTGAAATCCGCCTGCGCCGCACACTGCTGCAAGAACCAATGACAGAAGTGAACTTGAAGAGGGTAATCTATCTCTACATTGTGTGCTTCGGCATACGCCTGTTCGGAAACCGTTCCTGGTACAATCGTAGTGCTGCTCTGCCGTTCCCATTAGCAGCACCATACATGATATGCATGTCAGCTTTTTTCCCGTGCGTAAACTCACCCATCACGCTCGACATCAGAGTTGCGAAGGATTCTCTGATGCATCGGATCGTAGTTTGTCCGGCTCACTACCGTCCTCTACCGCTGCACTGTCAGCCAATCACAGCTGTAGTTCTATTACTGTTAGTGTTCCCTTTTTTGACATTTATTGTGAATACTGTATTGCTTCAAAGAAGCAGTTTGCGTTGATTTTGTACATAAACACATTTTCCTCTCGTGTCGTTTTTTCGCGTTCCTGCCTTAACCGGTCACTTTAGACCCTACATTCCTATACAAAAAATGCATGTTTTAGTACGTTCTACCACCCCTCTAAGTTTGTCTCATGATCTATGAAACACCCTGTATAGCAGATTCGTAACACTATTAAAAATCATTGAAACTATATCAAATAAAAACATACTAGCAATGTTTGGTGCTTTTCTAACATCTATCAGATTGTAGAATAAAAGACATGAGGAATGAATTACCTTACTTAAGCTATCGACTGAAGAAAGTATTTCAGCAATGCACTCACAATTCTGTGAAAGATTCCAAACAGCTTAAGCTTCCATTTTCTCTGCTGTGACAGCAGTTTTTTGCATAAGACGGAAATGCATTTTGAATTCATTTGTTAGAGTCTTCTACTAGTCAACCGTGTGGAACATTTGGCGCTAAAAGAGTCGAGCGAAAAATGATGTCAATCAGTTTAATGATTCTTCTTTGACATCCCTTCAGTTGTTTTATTCACGTCAGAATTTGTTCGTGCACACAATAAAGAAAAATAAAAAAATGTGTTCCTAAGATAAACTTTAATTATAAATTGGAAAAAATAATTAATGAATTAAAAATACAAAATAATTTATCATACAATATAATGCAAGCAAGAGATTAAATAATTCTCTTTACAAATGCGTACGCTTAATAATGTATACTTTTGAAAATGCAATTACATTGATAGATTCTGTTATTTAGGTACCCATGCTATTATTTTTCCATAAAACTAGGGATGAATTTTGTACAGAGACTACTTAGCAACTTGCTTCTGTTAAACTGTATGATAAATTATTTTGCTAGATTTAGTTCATTAATAATTTTGTGGGTTTAAAATAAAACTTTATTAGTTAGAAACTTTTCTTTTCATTGCATTACATTTTTATCATTTTAGTCGCAATGACACATTACCAGTCAAATTATTCAGTTAACAATTCAATTCATTTTTAACAATGACTAATCATTCTTTTACTTCCAGCAATTCTGTTATATCAGAAGATTCAACAAATTCCAGGAATTCTGGCAACAATTCAGAAATTATGTAAAACTTTCAAGCAAATTTCATTAAATGATTCTTCGCATTCTATCTGATGGTACAAACAGTAAAATTTTGGAAGTTTCAGTTTACTCATCAAACTAAGATATGTGCGGAAAACCATTTATATTTAAATTGCAAAAAAAGTCTAAACCGAATTTAAAAAAAAACCAACTATGTTTCGTCATGTATTGTCATCCGCCAACAATGTCTGAACAAAATTTGAACTGGATAGCTTTTCGAGAAGAAGGTAAACTCTTGACAGTGGCGACAAACTTCATTAATGAAGTGAATAAAACTTTCAAAAATAAATATGGTCGATGTTATGATTGAAGTATTCAATTTAGTGAATTTCAGTTGTTTAGCTTTGATATCTGCATTCTATATAAATTTTCTAATTCGTGTGAATGTTTCTTTTGATATGCGTCTGCGAATGAAGGAAAATATGAGTCTGAGGAATTTTTTAAAAGTATCGAAATAATGACTCATCAAATAACAATTCTTCTAAAATAAATCTACAAGTTTCTGAATATTTGGCTTTTATTAATGCATTGCTTAAAATGTATTGTCAAAGCTGAAGTCAGTCGTAGACACTTTGCTTTCGCTTAAAATATTGATAGGATTTTGTTTTATAGCATTCATGGAGTCTTAAAAACAAACTAAGCAAAAACAAAGTTGAGTTTTACTTTATAAACAAAATGGGTGATTCTGAAAGCTGCATTCTTAAAGAGCAGTTAAAATTGTTTCTTTTTACTTTCAGATAAGGAAAATAAAACGAAGAAAAAGAAAGATGTGAATAAAAAGACAGTAGAAGAGAAGAACAATGAGAAAAGAATTAAGAATTCTTCTCCGGTTAAAGGAATGGTATTATTTCTATTTTTGCCTCTCTTTAATTTGGTACATATGAGTACTGTGTGTGTATGTTTATGTATTTTTATAAACTGAAACCGATGTGAAGAGATGATGCTATCAACATGTCAATTTCAAAGCTTAATTAAAAGATGTTTATGCTATTCTCTGCTATTTCCATACCTTTATAATCAGCAATATTATTAGAAAGTAAAACGGTAACTCTTCTTTTGTTGACAAACAATTAGATTTACAGATGATGTATTTAAGAGGAAAATTTGCTTCTAGATTTCCTTACTGTTAGCTGGTTAAAGTTAAACGAAAGAAATATCGGCTTCCATGTGTATTGAATTCTTGATGGTTTATCCCATTTCCCATTTTTAAAATAGTCTCATCTGGAAAGCTGAAAAAGGTAAGGTAGGATTGGAAATAGAAAAATAATAGTAATGAAAATGAAGCTCACTGCATGCAGTGATGACACTTAATCCGCAAGCAATTAATATTATATTTCTGTGAAAGATTAACTTGCACCTGCATTTTCAATAGCAGTACGATAATTATCATTAATTCATCGTCGATAGTTACTTTAATCACAAACAATCAGACCACCTTTTAAAATCCTTAACATAAAATATCTATTTTTGAAAATTGCTTAGAAAAGAATAAGCGCAAGCAAGCAATATCCTCATTGCAAACAATGAAAATGTAAAGTGAAGGCATATAAATCTTAGGTAATCTTAGGTAGTATGCGTCTGCCGCTTATAGTTACTTGCTTCCATATTATCTCGCCGAAGAATTATAGGGATCTATTAATAATAGAGATGACTATTATTTTTTCGTCATGCTGTGTAGCATTCCTAATGAGTAATCATGTAGTATACTATCTACCTCTGTAAGTTATTTCTTTCTTTCTTAGATTATGCCACTAAAGCAGTATTTTAAAGATGAACACAAATGCAAATAAATAAGTCTACGTAAATGAAAATGGTTTCCATTGATTAATTTTATAACTTACTACATTTTTAATTCGACCAAATTTTAATTCTTTCCAATTTTACAAAATAAAAGCAGAAAGGGCCCTCAAAAGGGCGTTTACATGAGTCCTTCAGCCATTTGCACACGCAGCATGGCCGAGAACAAGTCATGATTGTTATTAACAGTTAGTCATAATTCTTCGGCGAGATAGTATGGCAGTAACAAATTAAAACGGTAAATCGCATACTACATGATTAGCTAAGGTTTATGTGCCCTCATTTCATATTTACATAGCTTGCAATAATGGTTTTACAACCAGTTCCCAAAGTGAGTATTTTAAGCCAAATAATTTGAAAGAATTTAAATTTGATGGAATTTAAAATTTAGTGGGCTATTAAATTAATTAATGGAACTATTTTCATCTATGTATTCTTATTTATTTTCATATTTAAAAATTGCGCGTTAATTGCGCCATCTAATAAATAAATAAATAACTAAAAGCGATAGATTACATAGTACATGACTCCCCGTTACGAATATGACACAGTATGCCAAACATCACTATTATTTATAGACCTCTATAAGTCTTCTGCCATATAGTATGGAAGCAACTAACTAAAAGTGGTATATCGCATGTTATATGAATATATCTAAACTTATTTAATGAGCCAAAATATTTAAGCATAAGCAAAATTCTCAGATAATTCTCATTCAGAACATCACAAAAAACGCATTTGAAAAAAATGAAGAGATTTAGTCAATTAGAAATACCATCAGATTCTCATCTGAGATTTTACATTTATACAAGGCAATATACGCCGTCTATAAGATAGTCATTTCACTTGCATAGCTCAAAAAACAAAGTAACTGTAATTAAAAATTATCATTTTCTATAATATTGGATAAATCTAATGATGTTTCAATCAGTAAGCATGTATGCTAAAGTACACGTTATTCTAATGAAGAAGAAAAATAAATATCAAAACAGTTTTTAAGTTAGGCTGAAGTTGACTTAAAATGACATCAGATTTCTAATTAATAACATATTTCAATAGTGAAAGAACGTAGCTTTTATTTGTAATCAGAATCTGATTGAGTTCAACAATCAGAACGGAAAATTAACTGAAAAGTATTAACAATTAAAGTAATGCAAGAAACAATGGATTAAAAAGAAACCCGTCAAATCCAAAATAATTAGAAAACAACGTTATCAATCCAAATTTCCCGAAGCCCTTAGCAGTGGGTATGATAAATTAACTGAAAAACTGGAGACTAAAATTGATGAGAATTAATTAAAAGAAGAAATGGTTTGGTTAAACAATGGAAAATTAACAATATGGTTTTAATATTTTCGTCAAAACTAATTCGTATAATAAAAAGATCTAGAATCGTATCATCTGTAACTTTATGAACCAATGGAGACTGAATTTGTCATGATGTCACAGGTCATGACACTTTCGTGCATAAGCCGTCACAAATCATTATGTGATCTATGACACAACATGCTACTTTTGAATTCTTTTCTGCTTCTTTAGCTCAACCATTTGCACCAACAGCATTGTGTAGTACCTCCACGAACATTTACGCCCATCTGCTCATTATCCAAAGAAAGAGTTCCATCCACTGAATCAGTTCTTGGAAGTGAGGTTTTAACCACCGTTTCCCTTCCTGAAGAAACTTCTATTGTGTCCACTGTCCCGTCTACTAATGATGAAAAAGCATGTCTGGTTTTATTAAGTACCGGAAATGAAGGTAAAGAAAGTATATTTAAAAAATGTAACCAAATAAATTCTGTAATGCACCAATCGCAAAAATGTCAATTATTATATTAGTTTGATTATAATTAATTCATTACTTAAGACTTTCTGTACATCCTATCTGATGAAAACGTAATAGGCTTAAAATCAACAGATAGTCCATCAATTCTGGTTGTTAATAACGACAAACAGCAATGGTAAAAACATTAATCTGTTGTTGGTTTCTCTTAGAGGAATTTGCACCGCACGAAAAGAAACTGCTGTTGCTTTCTTTCAGTAATTTCAAAAGGAACTGATCTTCAAAATTTGTCTATTGAAGTTTTATTAATATTCTGTCTCATATGTAAAGAAAAATGTTATGTGCTAGATGGGCTCTATACGGCCAGTAAGACAAAATTTAAGTGTCACTTTATATTGAATTTCTTTTGTGCGTGCGCAGCATGAGGGTTTTAAGGAAGGGGATAGACAGGAGCCAAAGAGAGAATTAGAATGCTTCAGAGGCAAAACTTTGTGTAGGTCCCGGCTGTAACGTGCTGACTGTTGCCATTTAATGTGCTATCTTTTGTTCAGGTTGGTATTAGAGTCTATGTTGTCTCGGGGTCGTTGACACGGTTACAGCCGAAAACGTCGTAGGAGGAAACATCGCAATTCCAAAATATCGTGATCGAAAATAAAGCAGTTAAAAAAACTTGGCAGTTTAAAAACATCGTCGTCGAAAATATCGTGGTAAAAAATAAGGTACCTACAAATCATCACATGGCGATAACATCGCATACATGCGTTCTTCAAATCGCAGGACGATAACATCGCATACAGGTTTTCAAACGCAGACCTAACATCGCATACGCCGTTCTTCAATCGCAGGACATATTACGTAACTGACTTTCGTCATAACAACACAGCAAACTCCACTACTCTCGAGACTCTCCACGCTACAACTCGCGATGCACTCGACGACACACAGAGTACAGCTCTCGACTCTTCGGTTCAGTCGTTCCCGGAGCTTAACACACTCTTTTCGACGATGCACTAACCGCGATACAGAAAGAGACTCTTCGATGCACTCGACGACCAACTCGGCGAAAGACTTCGAGACACTCGCTCAATGACGCGTTCGGTGACTTTAGTCCTTTCTAGTGTGTTCCCAACTGACACATATATGCTCTATCATCTTCAGAGGGTTAAATATAATTACCTAAACTTTAAACGCAAAACTAAATGCATTAGTGTTATAATCAATAATACATTATTAATTACAGTATCAATGCATTATAGAAGTTTTAGATTTGTTTTTTAAAGCTCTTTGTTTTAATTTAATTTACTTTATAGATTATTTTTATATTGTGCTTAGATCAGTGGAGCCCCCAAAGTTTGGATATAAAGAATCAGTATGATAGAGGATTTTTGCTACAGCATGAATTGGACTATATGTCCTCAAGTAAACCTGAAGAGGTACTAGATGCGGATATAATTAAACACAAGGCAGAATTTGGGATGTCACCAACTCAAGCTCGTATGACCACCTCAAATATAGCAAGTATTTTCTTTATCAGATGTGTTCTTTCAAACATTATTTAGATGTTCGAAAGCTGTCTATAATGCATTGATAGAAAATAGCTATAATCTCAGGTGGAATTTTTCTTTGGATACAAAACAAGTTCTAAGCAAAAAAAAAAAAAAAAAAAGGAAAATTATTTATTAAAGATAACCTTTTTTTTAATCAATTAAGTATGTTCGTTCAAAAGTTGAATAAATCTGGTAACATGTAAACAGTTACATTATGTAACCATTGAACCAAAATCATGAGATCTTAAAGAGTAAGAAATAATATTACATATAATGTTTTCGAAAGCAGAATATTCTGCAGAGTCATAATGGCACATATTATTGCACATATTATTTGTGAAAAAATATATAATTCTTGAATTTGTTGATATTAATTATTTAAAAATTACGTTTGGAATATCAAGAATTTGTTATTAGAGAGAGGAAAGGATTCAATGAAATTTTCATATAATGCTTTTATTTCTCTTCATGCATAATATGAATTAATAAGCAAATAATATCTCTATGTGTATAGCATCTAATGTCATATCCGAATATTTTAAAGAAAGGAAAATGATTGTTATGACAGCGATTATTGTTGTGATTGCCTCTAGTCCCTGTTTTATCAGCGCTGAACTTTTTAATTAATATGCGATATTTCATATTATTTAACTGATTGTCATGATTTAAGCCTTTACTATAACTTTTTCTTTCCGTATTCCTCATCAGAATGCAAATTAGGATTTTGTGTATTTCAGTTTTTCAGATTTTGTGTATTTCAGTTTTTCAGATTTTGTGTATTCAGAGTTTTGAATGTTAATTTAAAATGAAAAGGTTATTTTAGCCTTCTTTATTGTTTTCGAGTTATTTAAGATGTATCAATAACTCGCTATCACTCTAATAGTGTCTATAGAACTTTAGCTTCCAGTTACAACAACTATAGCTCCTGTTACAATACCAATGTACACATTACCAGTTACCCTACACAATTAAATAAATAAACAATACATTTCAATAAAACGAATAAATATAAAACAATAAGAAATTCCTGCACTTGAGCTGCAAAGTACTGAATTTGAGACATTATTAATATTTATCAAAAACTTTTTAAAAAAAGTATTATCCTATTCTAAGAAAAATTGCATAGGGAATTAAAAGTACTACTTGGAAATTGGAAGTGAGCTTGCGTAAACGTTTGATATTATTTTAATGTTATTAATTAAAGTTGAAAAATATTCGCTAAATTTCACTCCTAAAAGGGGAATGTTAAAAATAATTAAAATGCCATAAATATAGAGGTGACAGGTGGCGGAGGACGGGAAGCCTGATGTTTAACAGAGGTAAAGTGGCATGTGTACCACGCCCTTCCCTACCTAGAGGCAACAACTCCCTTGAGCCCCAAGATGCCCGCACCGGGAGTTTATTGAGATATCAAAAAAAGTTTGTTCACTTGGCTAAACAGGGTGTCTTAAGTGTAAAATGGATACTGTACACGCAGCTTAAGCATACACATTTGAAATGTATGACAAATGAATACACATGGAATAAACACAATTCAACACACAACGTACAAAACATAACAATACACGATACAAAGTACACACACTACGACATTAAACAGCATAAAACATATATAAACATTACGCTAAACGCACGCATTACATTAAACACATAAACCTTACATCAGAAAACGAAAAACACATGAGAGCACGTGAGAATAAAAACGCACTATGTTTAACATGAACACACCTAGCCACATTACGTTTAACATGCGGAACAAAACGCAGTGCGTCAGTCATACATGAGCAGTAGATATTTACATTGATAATGATGCTTATTCGTACAGGAAATGAAACTGTGCATTACAGTATTCATACATTGTGTGCACAGTTAAAAATGCGCAGGGTATAATACAGTTATACATGTACCGTTATGCATGCGCAGTTATACAGTTATATAATATTGAAACGTACAGTCGTACGGGCGGAGTAACATTACATGGCACTTATAGTGTTCTTAATTATGCAGTAATTCATAAAGTATGCTGAATAGTTACATTATTTAATACTTACTGAATGCTAAATAATACATTGCGCTATTCATGCGGAATGCTAATACATGCACAGTTACACGGTTATATTAAATTCAGGGGTGCATAGGTGTGCATGCAGAGTTACATTATTTGATATTTGCAGAGTGCAAAAATATATATTACATTATAATATTATATTACCTTATTATACATTGCCTTATTTATACAGGATGCTAAATACACTACAATATTTATACACAATATTCATACAATATGCTTATTAGTACAGAATACTAAATTGCGCAATGCACTAATCATACTTTATACAAAGGTTCACAGTACGCATGCACAGTCAGTAAATACAGTTATACATGCGCTGTTATACAGTTATACAATATTCGAAGGTACAGTTAACGTGCGGAGTACCTTATAATATGTAGAAAAGATATGTAAATTAAATAATATTAATAAACTTATTCATAAAGTATGCTGAGCACATTACATTATTCATACAGAATACTTATCCATATAGAGTGCTATTTATGCAATATATTATTCATACATTATGCAAAGCTATGCAGTTATATATGCACGGTTGTTCGAGACAGTTATGCGCATATATACAAAGTTCAAGGGTGCACAGTTATGCGTGCGAAGTTGCATTAATAATACTTACTGAATGCTAATACATTGCGTCATTCGTATACAGTATGCTAAATACTTGCACAGTTGCACGGTTATATAAAATTCAGGGGTGCATAGTGGTGCATGCGGAGTTTCATTATATTGTACTTACAGAATGCTAAACTTTATATTACATTATTCATTACATTGTACATTACCTTATTCATATAGGATGCTAGTACACTACATTATTCATACGGTTATACATGTACTACACGACTGCTAGTTACACTACACACATTACGCGCTACACTACTGCTAGTTACACTACATTATTCATACAGTTAGAAAATACGGTAATACATGCGCAGTTATGCAGTTGTAAGGATTATGTTAATTTTATTAAAAGTTAAATTTTAAGTTCCTTTCTTGTCCAATTCTTAACTTCAACTTACTACTTCCGGCCAGAACGTAGTTTTGGAATCATTCTGAATACTTAATGAGGAGGAGCGGTATTTAAACCGCGAAGTCTACTTGCAGAGTTAGAGAGAATCAGAGTTTCTGATTTACGCGCGTCTGCCTTTTGGCTACTCTCTCTCTCAAAACTGTGATTACGCTCGGCCGCACTCAGGCCCTTGATAAGCTTCGTAGTCAAATAGAGTTAAGGGGCCAACTCTATTATAATCTTAATAGCTTCGGCTATATCTCTTTAGTTAATCTTAGTTTTAGTTTATTTTTTAGTCTCTTCAGTTCAAGCCCAAGTGTCGGCTTTTATTGTACACTCCAAGACGGAGTGCCCACCAGCGGCCGAGCGGTAAAGTTGCTGAACACTGGTAGTTCGGTCCGAGGCTCAACCCCCTCGAACGAGCTGGCTGCATGGGCGCTTTCGTGGTTTTCCCCATGTGTAACGTGTATACGAGTCAGTTTCCCTTAGAAAGTCCTCCACGAAGGCATCCCTCCCCTTAGGCAGATAGCCCTCGTGTGCTTTGCCATAACTCAACACACCAACACCAACACCAAGACGGATTTTTGTTAAATCTTATTGGAATAATTAAAGGGTTAGTTACTCTATCTTCTTGTTGTTTCTTGTCACACGAACTTAAGCGATTATTCGCTAACTACTAGTTCTTAAGATTCGTCACTTTTTACAATATCTGAGAAATACACTAGTGAGAATCTTACACAGCTATACAATATTCAAAGATACAGTTAAACTTGCGGAGTAGCATTATATAGTACTTACTGTCTGCTTATTTATACAATATATTATTCATAAAGTATGATGAGTACCATTACATTATTCATACATTACGCAAAGGTATGCAGTTATACATGCATGGTTGTTCGAGACAGTTATACGTGTACAGTTACGCATATATACAAAGTTCAAGGGTGCACAGTTATGCGTGCGAAGTTGCATTAATAATACTTACTGAATGCTAAATAATACGTTGCGTCATTCGTACAGTATGCTAAATACTTGCACAGTTACACGGTTATATAAAATTCAGGAGTGCATAATGGTGCGTGTGGAGTTACATTATATTGTACTTACAGAATGCTAAACTATATATTACATTATTCATTACATTGTATATTATCTTATTCATATAGGATGCTAGTTACTACATTATTCATCATTCTTTACTGCTAAAGCTGTAAATAAATTTGGTTATACATGCGCCGCTACACAGTTATACAATATTCAAAGGTACACAGCCATGCATGCGGACTTACGTTATATATTGTTTACAGACTACTAAATTATACAAGTACAACACATTATTCATACAGGATGCTAAATACATTACATTATTCATACTGAGTGCTATTTAACACAGTACAGTATTCATGCATTATGCAAAGATGCGCAATACAAAATACTAAATTATGCAAAAATACAAAATGCTTATTAAAATACAAAAACACAGTTATATGGTATATAAGGGTACATATCTGTGCATTAACCGTTAAATTATATTGTTGTTAAACATAGAAAATGCTGTGGTTCGCAAAACAAATATTTATTACTGAGATATGCAGAGTAATACGCAGAGTTACATGCAAGCAGAATAATACTAAGCACAAGCAATAGCAAGATAATAAGTACAGCAGAATAATACTAAGCAAGCAGAATAACAGAATAATACTAAGCAGCGATAAGCGTTACAGAGGTATATATATAACTTCATAACAGATCATGGTTTAACAAATCATAAACAAGACACAATAAATAACCAATCAAAAGAAACATACAGAGTGAGATTTAAGTTTCAGAATACTCGGACCTGGCTGAAAGCTAATGAATGTTTCGGACTTGACAGAAAGAAGC